TTTTATTTACTTAAAGCAAATTTGCTGGGGGCTTTATTGCTACGTCTATGCGGTGCTCTTGTTGTTAAATGAGCAGTTTTGTTTGTTTTGTTTGATATGCATACAAATAAAAAATAGATAAAAAAATAGCAAAATGATAAGAACAAAATATATTCAATTGATCATACATGATAAAGCCATAAAAAGGAAAGTTTATTGATATTTAAAAAAGAATGTATTATGAGTGGCCGAAAATCGATACGTTTAGAAAGAAATGTAAGTTATCGTGCGTTATACTAGATAAACTAATGTCCTTTTTTCAACAAGGAAATCATTTTATGCTCAAGATTTACTTGATTAGATTTACATTTTAAAAACGCATTGTTTATTTATATCAATCTCTTCATTTAACAATATTATTTTTAACCTTGTTCCCTAAAAACAAAACTACTAATTAACATCAAGTGACAATCAGATAATCAAGTGCATAAAAGTACGGCCTTATGGACCATTTATTTGATCTCTATTATAACTAACATTTTGTTCAATATCTCTTAATTCGTGAATCTATGGTAGAATGCTTGAAAAGAAATTCGATGTGATTGCAAAAATTACTTTTCAGTCTTTTTCAATGTTTTGTTTCAAATCTAGATTAAATTTCTTTCAGTTTTGATAGAATCTTTCTTGGAGGGTACAAACAGCAATAAACATAATATAATAGTAACAACTGTAAAGCACAATATTCGCCTGCCAATTCATTTATTGTATACATCGACGAGTTTTGTGTATATTGTATTGTTCCTTATTGTAAAGCAAAACTTCCGTCTTTGTAAACTGATTTGTAACAGTTAACATCGTTTTTTAAATGCACATGTATATAAATTTCCTAACAAATTGATGACAAATTCGAAAAATTACTTAAATCTTATTTAAGAAATAAAAGAAATTGTTATAATTCACAGTACCTGCTCTCTCCGCCATTTTTGTGTCACGATTTGTTATTTATGTTCATGTAGATCAGACGAAATTTCAATCGCTGCGCATTTGTTTGCAAAACTACGAAATGTCTATTTTTAAAACAAGAAAGTTAAACTTTAAACTTCAGGTTGGTTTTTTGTCTGCTTTATTGATTTAATGCAGTATTAGCGAATAGTTGATAGACAATGAAGTTTGCTTTATAATTAAGTAATTTTAAGACTTTTTCTTGACCCCATGTTATATACGTACGACCTATTTATTAGTGAAGTAAAGAGAACGTGCTTTTATTTTTTGTTGGTTGAGGTAAATGTACGTCATCAACGAAATGTAAAAAGCGGCTATTAAAATATTTGATGTCAAAACAACGTCTGGATAGTACTTTCATAAAAATTAAAGATTAAAAGTTCAGCATCATTATCAAAATTATCAAAATTATCATTATCACCATATTCACAAGTTCGCAAAATCGATATCATCAACATCATAACCATCATTATCAGCACATCATAGCATGGTCATGATAATCATACTAATTATCATAAGTTTATAAAAATCTTCATAATCAACATCATAAGCATCATTATGAGTACATCATAACACGATCATGATCATAGTAATCATCATCATAAATTAACAAGAATTATCATTACAATACCATAATAACCATCATCATTAGATCATAGTTGACATGTTTTAAAATTTTAAGAAAAAATTGTTTTGCTCCATATTACATTGTTATATATACATTATATTAGCTCAGTGTTCATTCTTACAACACCTTGATAAATAACAACTGAGGGTACATTTTCAATCCCAAAGGGTCAAAGATTTGGTTCAAAATCATTCTGCTAAGTTGGTTGTCCGTTGTGGCAGCTGGATTATCAAGCTTTGGCAGGTTACTTTCAGAAGAACCTGATCAGTACTGTTGCACTTCAAATCATCATCGACATCCTCATCAGCACCACGCATCATTATTACGATCGCCAGTACATTTATCTTTAGCACCAGTACATCATTGTCATATCATCAACAGAACAAAATCATCGCCATTAATTCGTCATTGCTGTTATCATCATCGTCATCATTATTGCTACCATCAGAATCATCATAAGTACATCCTGATAATTTTCAGTTCATCATCATCATCATCATCATCATCACGAGGATCATCATGATCACTTCGAAATTTAAATAAAAAAAGAATTATAATTTATAAAAGGGCCTCATATTTGGATGATGAAAAACTGATGATGAAAAAAGATCAAAAAGGTGGTTCTAATATTATATTGATAATGATGAAACTGAGAACAATTTAAAAATGATGATGGTGATAATGATGATGATGGTTGTAATGTTGATTCTGGCGAAGGTTATTATGCAGGTGATGATATTTTATAATTTTTCAAAAATTAATGATGATGATTTCTTTATGATAATGCTATTGATAATGATGTTGAATTAGAGAAGTTTGACTTCAACGGACATGAAGATAAATATGATATGGGATGGGTGATTATAATGATTTTGATGATGATGGTGAAGATGATGATGATGTGATGATAGTTATGGAGGTATATTTTGATAATGATAAGTGGTGGAAGATTTTGATGATCAAAGATGTAAATATAATTTCAGTGAATTAAACGAAAATATAAAGGTTATGATTATGTTGAATAGATAGATATACGTCATGACGTTTAAAATGATGAGTTTTTTGTCCGTCAAAATGACGCGACGGCAAAATGTTTTCTTATCTGCATACACAACAATATGATGACTTCATGGAGTGAGTGTAGTTTACCGAAAATAATATATTGAAAGACTTAAATTAAATAATGCGTAAAAATATTGACTCCGTCTCAATGGGTATTGTTTTGTGTTGGACAAAGCATCGGTTTAATAGCTGTTACCCTATAGAGAAGTCTTAAGTTTTTCTATCTGTTCAATTATTTACCTAATGAAACTATAGAATATGTCCATTATCAATAGAAAACTTGGAAAAGTTTTATGCAGACGTAGTTTTGACTTCCAACTGTTTAAATGCCATTTTTCAATTCTTTTAAAAAGACCCGTTACCAAAAATAACCAAAATAAAAATGGCACAAATGTGATATCGCATTACTTCACCAATAAATAAATCGTATGTATTAATGCATAAAGAAAGTATAAAGATTATGAAATTATTAAAGTAATAAGTTTGCAAATTACTGTGTTAATTACAGAGTTGAAATACAGCAAAAAAATGAACCCAAAGATAAATAAACATTTAAACTAAAACTAGCTTAGTGCTTATCCTCATATTACACCGCTACGCCATCAGCCTATATAAAGTGTAGCAAATTACACTTTTTTCTTCCTTGTTCTTAGCTTATTTGTACGATCTACATTAAAAAAGGCGTAACACAAAATGGCGGAGAGGGCAGGTACTGTGATTTTTTTCTTTTCTTCAATTTTCTAAAGCGATTTAAAGTTTTTTAAGCTGTCATGATTTTGTAATGAAATTGTTATGCATGTTTATTAAATGTTTTGTATAAAGTTAACGTCGTTCTTCCATGCACAACATAATTGATTTTCTGATTGTTGCATAATGTAGCCTTTTGCGGCTTAGCTTGATAAAATCTCATGAAAGATCTATAAATTGCTTGACATAATTATTATGTTGTAATATGAGATACTAGATTTAGATTAAACTAGAACTCCGCGAGTCGGATGTGTCGCCTTGTGAACAATGTTGTTTAGGGGAAATGGCCAGGACAAAAATGAAATATGAAAAATAACAAAGGGCAATAACTAAAAAAATAATAAGTGCAGAGCAGCAGTTTATGTACACTGCACTTCTTATCAATAAGATCTATCATTCTTTGATGTTTCAAGTCCATAGCTTTCATACTTGAGGAGAAATGACCAGGACAAAAATAAAGTAAGAAAATCAACAAAGGGCAATAACTCAAAAATAAGAAATGCAGAGTATCAGTTCTTATGCACTGCACTTCTTTTTAATGAGATCTATCATCCTATGAAGTTTCAAGTCCATAACTTTTATACTTTCGGAGAAATGGCCTGGACAAAAATTAAGTATGAAAATTAACAAAGGGCCATAACTCAAAAATTAAGAAAAGCTGAGTACCGATTCTTGTGCACTGCACTTCTTAATAATGAGATCTATCATCCTATGATGTTTCAAGTCCATAGCTTTTATACTTAAGGAGAAATGGCCCGGACAAAATTAAAGTATGAAAATTAACAAAGGACAATAACTCAAAAAATAAGAAATGCAGAGTACCAGTTCTTGTGCACTGCACTTCTTCTTAATGAGACCTATCATCCTATGAAGTTTCGAGTCCATGGGTTTTATACATTAGGAGAAATGGCCCGGACAAAAATAAAGTATGAAAATTTACAAAGGGCAATAACTCAAAAATTAGGAAGTACAGAGTACTGATTCTTGTGCACTGCACTTTTTAATAATGAGATCTATCATCCTATGAAGTTTCAAGTCAATAGCTTTTTTAGTTGAAGAGAAATGGCTCGGACAAAATTAAAGTATGAAAATTAACAAAGGGCAATAACTCAAAAAATAAGAACTGCAGAGTACCGGTCCTTGTGCACTGCACTTCGGGTAATTGAAAGAAGCATGCATACAAAGTTTGAAGTCAATCAGACTTATAGTGACTGAGTTATGCTCCGGACAAGCTTTAGGGGACGCCGACGACGACGCCGACAACGACGCCGACAACGACGCCGACACAGACGCCGCCGCCGACACCGCTGACAAAAGTAACCCCTATATGTCACCTTTTCAAGGCGACACAAAAATGGCTTTATGATAATATTTTGTTTTATAACATTTCATTATTTGACATTAACATATTTATAATATCGCATTATGTATCTCACATTTGCAAAACACGAGTAGAAATGTACAATTCCATCATTGTTTGTTGTGATATCTGACAATATTAGACATCCCCCCCCCCCTTTAAATGATTGCTCGGATGCAAATAAAACTCATAACAATGAACATGTTTTCATCAATTGATTATCATCTTCAAACAGTTTCAATTCGATACTAGTTTGTAAAAAGTTAAAAAATACATTCATGTGTTGCAATTGTTGGATAGTTATTTTCACATATTTTTGCTATGCTTCGGTTAATATTTATAACGGCTGCCTTGATTTTGTCATACATAAATGTCCTTTTCTATAATAAACATCTAGTTATGTAACTAGATACATGTTGTACACAGGTGGTTTTAAAACATTTACTGCGGTTAATAATGAATATATCATGTTTTAAAGTTTATTTTGGGATATTTGATGGTAAATAATTACACACATATATTGACAGGACGTACGTAACACAGTATTATACTATACATTTAAACACTACAATAAAATATATACTATAGCAAAATACGAAAAGATTCACGTATGGAATTTCTTGTCAACAATGACATGTTAAAATTAATATTAAATTGTTAGAAGTTTCAAATCATTTTAACGTTTACAAAAGCTGCGGTCTTTTATTACTTAAACCCTTTTAAGGTTTTTTAACCATTTACCTTCAGACGGTCACTGAAGTCAGTGCAGACAAAGACACACCGAAACATACACGCTTTCTAACCACGGTCTACACTGTTCGCTATTCATGAAGTATCTATTTTTTACTTTTTATCTTGGCATTAATAATGTTTTTTTTTTTTTTTTTTTTTTTTTTTTTTATCAAGATGAAAAGGTTGGCAAGTCAATTCAAAATATTAAAATATTCAAAATGTGGTAAAATTGCCTAACGATTTCATGAATTATAAAATGTATATACAAATATGATTATTATACGAAAGACCAGTAGGGCCATTTCAACTTGAATTCTTGATTTCATCTATATGAATTCACACTTTTAACTTTGTGAGTTCCCTTTTCAACATACGTATTTTCGAAATTCACGATTTTAACTTCACGAATTTACGATTTCAATTCATGGATTTTATTATAGCATTCCTGGCGCTTTGTCGAGGCATGCAATCAATCTTTAACAGATATTAAAGGTAAATGTTTAAGACATAATTTATGAATGTTATTTTATTATACGGCCCGTGCACGATATGCATTTGTCCGTATAGCAATGGGGAAAATTTTAGACTTGATTTTGTGCATTTGGTTTTGTTTTAACAAAATCACATTGTTTTCAAATTTTCTTATAAAAATAGTTTTTCCGATGTACAACAATTCACATAGATTTAAGGGATTAAAATAAACGTTTACCTGAAGTGATAGTGCCATGTTTGAATATCATATTCTTTTCATAATTATCTTATTTAATCTACCTAATAAATAACATGCCAATTAATAAATTACAAGTTACAAAGCCTAAACCACGCCCACTATCAGAGGGGCGGTTCTCCCTTAACCATTAGCGCAACACAGACCCGTCTATAGTCTAATGACGGGCAGAGAACAATAGATATCACTAAAATACGCAACGGAGATTATTTTGGCGCTACGGTCGCAACGGAAATATTTTTTGCAAAACAGGCAAAACGTGTGCGACATGTAATTCATTAAAATAGTTAATATTTAAGTTATAAAACAGATTAACTGAATGAAAACAGTACGTTTATTTTAAAACATTTTGCAAATATTTGCAATAGGTTATTTTGAAGGATTCTGTGACCGACGATTGTTCTCTTTTGCCTACATTTTTTATTACATTGTGTGTTCCCATACCTAGATCCTAGGCGAATATGCACTCTTTTGTTTATTCAAGTAGTTTAATCTTTTATAAATAAGTAAACAATACGTTACAAAGAATTGATTATATATATATATATCAATTTATTCATAACTATTATTTGATATTAGAGACATATTTTCGCTATTTGTAAAATAACAGACAGTTAATTCGTCCTCAAAATCATTCGAACGTTTGATGTGCAGCATCAACATTTAACTGGTGTATGTATATCAATTTGTTAAATGAACAATGTATAATATACGGTTATTGCAAACTTATATGAGATAAAGAAACGATTTAAGACGGTCGATCGTCACAGCTATTTCTGAATATGACTTCCTGTATGCAATTGAAAGAAACTATTTCAGCAGAAGACTCCGTATATCAATTAACCTTCGGTAAACTTCGTCATTTACCGTATTTAGTAAGCGTTTTAAGTGCTGTTTGCCTCCAGATGAGCTAAATAGTTCAAGGTAATGAACTTTGAGAATAATAAACTTTGGTTTTGAGACCAGTAAAAATAATCACAATCAAGTAAAGACATATATGATCTATGCAGTGAATGGCTTATTTTGCAGCATTTAACAACATTTGTCTATTACGTGACTGACGCTGTTGGGGATAGTTAACCGTATTTTGACCTTTTTTACTAGCTCATTGGCACGTTATTTATTAGGTAGATAAAATTAGATAATTATAAAAAGAATATGATATTCAAACATGACACAATCACTTCAGTTAAGGTTTATTTTAATCCCTTAAAGCTCCATGACATGTTGTATATCAGAAAAGCTATTTGTAATGGAAAACTTGAAAACAATGATATTTTGTTAAAAAAAAGAATGCACAAAATCAACTCTACAATTTTCCCCATTGAATACGGACATATGCATATCTAACAACAGTTTATGTACATGAACTCCATTTACAAAAGTGCATTAATGTAAAAGTTGAATGTGTTATTAACATCTGGACGGAACCTGTTATACAAAGTTGCGAATGAATGTTATAAGGTCATAAATTATTTAGATACATAATTTGTTATTGTGCAGTGCAATTATTGGGTTGTATTTTTCTTTGAAGGTTACAACCAACCCGACGACGGATACACAGATAAGTATGCGAAAATCAAGGTGGATGTTCTACACCCTTACCAACCAGATATTCTTACATCGCAGCAAGGTAACGGCCAGCAGCCATATCCATTTCAACAATCATACCGACACGACACAAATACAAAAGTGGTAAATATTGGCGTATCATACAATTTTAATAAATATTGCCTAAAGTAGAAGAATGTGCTATTAAAATATATATTATACCAATTGTGAAATATGATAAATCCAAATTTTGCAGATTTTGACTTGAATTGTTGAGTTTTTGCAACACCAGTAAATGTTCATAATATACTTGACTTTTTTCAATTGATTCCGTGAATCTTTGTCTTTTCTCAAGCCAGTCATATAGCAGGTTAGTTTATTAAAAAGTCTTTTCATGATCTAAGCCGATGTTTTACATTTCATTATAAAAGCATGTTTTTGTTAAGGCATTTATATCATAACTTGGGGAACAGTATGTTACTTCATCGTTCAAAAAATCTAAAAAGATATTGTCAAATAATTATTCAAAAATGAATAAAGATATGTCTGTTCTAAATTGGCCATGTTATTGTTTCTAGGTTGTTACTCAGCCAGAACCTGGTATCGCCTTTTACCACAAGAGACCTCCAGATTATATGATTGGATCTATTTTAGCTTGCTTCTGCTGTTTCTGGCCTACTGGAATATGCGCAATCTTCTATGCAAACGAGGTAATCTTAACAATAAATAAAAATAAGTTTACAAACGAGGTTTTACGCACAAGTAAAATTGCTGCGCTGTACACCTGGAGAAGAGCCGAATACAATGCTACCTTTACGTCCGAACGCCTATTAAGATATGCGTATTAAAGGGGTAGCGTTACATTTATAATTAGTAAAGTTTTCGTTTTCTACTGTGACAGGATGGACACGCTTATGTCAATGCCAAGGGAAAACTACCGAAACACCGTGCCAGGAATCTGGCAAACATCATTTTTCTATTTGAAGAAAATGAAAAAAAAAATAACGTTTTGCTAGAAATCAATCAAAAAATTTGGATTTTGTGCCGAAGTATAAAGCTTATGCATGTGAATGTTTTTAGTTATTGTTTTTGTGCACGTGTAATTAAAATGACGACTTGTCATAAATCGTGCCATCCGCAGTAAACCATGCGTTTTATTCAGACTCATATTAGACTCGAATGTTTCGTTTTAATAGCTTTTTAACAACGCTTACTGACGTAGAAATCTACTTACTAAGTACTGTATAAATGGTTAATTTCGCGACTTGGAAATATTTGCGATGTTTTATTCCAAATAACTTGCAGTCAATTGGGCCTGACAAATCAACTTTTATAAATTAGTTAATTTAATAATATTTAAGGTCTTCTATTATAACTTTTATAGTTATTGTATAAATGATAAAGGTAAAGCATTTTGGTTCACAGAATTTGTTGGCTAAGCACAGCTTTTTACTGGCTAGTGTCCTCAGGTCAACAAAATGATATTACATTATGTATACTACAAGATATCAATTTGGTTACTATTTGTAGCATTACATCTATGAGCCCCTTTCATTTGTATCCTTAGCTCTCTTTCCATCCTTTAAGTAAGCTAGATAGTAAGTAAAATGCAATGCATACTTTACAAATCCCTTTAAGTTATATGTTCAATCTATGTTATTTTCAGGCAAATTATTTTGCAAATGCTGGTGACTATGCCGGGGCAAGAAGAATGTCTGACAACGCCAAAAAGCTAATGATAACCAGTGTGTTTATTGGAATTATTTTGTTGGTCATTTTTGTGTCCTTGAAATTGATATTATATAACGACAATGTTTACAACCACTACTGACAAATAACAAAACCATGCACCTTTTATGACAATTCATTTTGCCTTTATAAATATTTTACTAAAGTAAATCAAACATTTCAAATAAAAATAAAACTTTGTTTTTACTTAATAAAACAATTAAACATATATGATGTAAATATATATTCTTACTTAATTACATACACATATATTCAAATGTTAGGTTTCATCAACAGACAGCTGGATGAGATTTAAAAAGGACTATTGATGATTGCAAATTAATGTAAAAGATCAGATAATCATTAACTTTTCAATATTATTGCCCATTATGTATTCAACGAGATGACATACCTGATCATTAATTACGTTTATATGAATATGTTGTCTATCCATTAATATCCACATAATGCAGCAATATCATATGGATATCAAACACATCTAATTGTTCATATTTAAGGTTTATAAATTTAGTGGACAAAACTATTCTTTTTTCACTATTCTTAAATACTAAGCGCTTGTTTTATGTGATATATGATTTATTTTGTCACATGATTAATTTAATTTTCCTACTGCATAATAAGGCCTTCTTATTTTGAGAACAACATTCAATCTTGGAGCACTTTACAAAGAAAGAAGCATATGTTAACCATCGGTGAACTTATTACCAAAAACAAAACATGTGTGATAAAGTTGCGAAAACCAACCATTTTTCAGGCGGAACCCACATAAGTTAAAATTATGTTTTTTATGATATTAAAAGAAAAATCAATATTTATAAATTGTTTGAGTGTTTTATAAAGCTTACAATTGTTCATGTTACCTATTTCACACATTTTTGTGCGTCCGCAGTTGAGTGGATAAGCTCGCTGACTTCAAACCACATGTCCCACCTCGCTGTGGTTTCAAATCCAACAAGGCACATAACATTCCTTTAAGTGCAGCTTACCGAACGCGGTTCTACTCATATAATCTGCTTCTTGTTTGAAGAAGTATCTGAGGCCTTCCTCCACTAGAAACTAGTAAAGCTGGATATCGCATATGAAAGGAATAACTGATCTACCCTTCTTACCAATGGTCTGTTTCAGTGCCAGGGTAATACAGTGGGTAAAAAAAATTGTTTTCTATTACGTGTGGCATTTACCTTTGAGGAATTTCTTTTTATATTCACTTAAAACCTTATCCACGTTATTTTGGATTTCAATTAAATGCAACTTTCTAAGACTTTAGAATAACTTTGAATGAAATAAATTATTTGGTCGATGGCCAAGAGTCGTGACAATGTCATTTTTTCAAAGGAAATCCTTCTTTTCTTAATTCTTTTATTATCCAGGTTCATAGACTTATAGCCAAGCGCGATGTCTTACTGTAAGACTCGTATCCGTGCTTCATACATTTGTGCATTAATCAATTGATTTTAAGGGGGTTTGTGTTTGTGTTGTTGTTATAGTTGTTGTTGTTGTTGTTTGCCGTAGTTGAAGGATTATCCATTTTATTTTGAAATCTTTTATAAGCAATGCGCTCGTACATATAAAGTGGAGTTCTTATCATGTTTCCCCTCGCGCTGAGTTCAATATAGGTTAATATCTTCATTAACGAATATGGTGACTTTTTAGTTTAGTTTGTTTGTTTGTTTGTTTGTTTGTGTGTTTCTTAAGGTTTTAAGTCAGTCCGACACAGTATAGGTCATACGGAGACATTCCAGCTCTACTGGTGGAGAAAGAGCTCAGGTGCCTTTCTGTGAATGATTTCAGGCACGAACGGACACCTGAGTAGAACCATTGACGTTCCGTAAGCTAGCTGGATACCTTCCTTACAGGAAAGAATCAAAAGTCCCTGCCGAGATTCGAACCCACATCGGTGAGGGGCAAGTGGTTTGAATTCAACGACCTTAAGCACTCGGCCATGGACGCCCTTTTTTAGTTCAGCGAAGCACAATATGCTAAGAGATTAGATGAGCTTTTGTAATGACTGCATGTTTCTTGTTCACTTACCGTCGTATTCAACAAGATCTTTAAACAATATCTCTCTGCCATATGAGGTAAAAATTGACATGGAAAGTGAAATCTTAAAACATCGCCTTCAGTCTAAGAAACTTCAATTAGATTTAGATTTTGGCATGTAACATCACTTTGTGGTCCTCTATAAAATTCTTTTAAATCATGCCCCTAGGTTCAAATAAGCTCCTCTCCGGGGGTCACTAAGTTTATATATACTTGAATCGGAATTTACATGAAAGTCGTCTTTAACTTATGAAACTGCAATGTCAAAAGCTTAAATAATTGTCACACTATGCTGCGAATTTTAGCGACACACTTGCGAACGGCATTGGAGTGATAGTTTCGAAAATGTCTCGAAAACTCACAATTTCATTGCACGAGTCGCACATCTTCGTTTTCTTGTCGCTTGAATTTTCAACATATTGAACAAATTCGTTCGACGAAATTCTCTCAGTGTACTCACAAAATCATCACATCTGAACACATCTGAAACCGTTCTCTTATGGTTTCCACAAATAAGGCTAGCAGATTATATGAAAATGGACAATTTAAGGCCCTTAAGAATTCTCAAAGACAGCGTTAAATAAAGCCATGTTCTATATGAGCCAAATTGAGGCATTAAAGCCATTAAAATAAAACCTTTTTTTCTTCACAACCCATATGAGACATATTCTTTAGAATATCGACTGAACTTGGCCCTAATTTTGATAAATACAGTCATATGAACTAACTTTTTTTTCATTAATATACGAAATTGTTAAAGGGCTAGAATTTCATTAAAAGTCGTTTGCGAAAGACTGTAAAGAAAATTGTAAAGAATGCTCTAGCATATCGGTTATGTTTACCAAACAAACGCACACGCGCGCGCGCGCACGCACACACACACCAATACTAACACACACACATTCATCCATCTATCCATCAACACACTATGTTGCTTCATGATGCATATAATGGTATATTTATCACATAAATACATACACGCACGCACGCGCGCGCACACACACACACATCCATCGATCCCTGCCTCCCTCCCTACATAAACGCATACATCCATTCATCCATCCGTCCATTCATCCTTACCAGTGCTACCTCAACCTTTCAAATTATCCCGTTTAGGTGTTCATTTAACACTGTAAAGTGACCTTCTTTTGGCTCAGAATTCATCTCTTTGGCATATACTCCGGGAAAAATAATCACCGCTCTGTATTATATAAATAACCCTTTAAGAAGGCATGTCCGAGAGTTAAAATTGCTTTTTGTGACAGAACGGCCACATGAACCCTCGTAAAATACAAACTACAGGTACTTGCGCTTTACACTGATATCCGTCCGAGCGATAGTTGCATTTTCAATATGCAGGTAAAGGTAAAACTCTACCTGCACCACGTCCCCACAGAAATACTAGTATCGGAGCCAGTCTCAGAGCATGCCGAACTTACAAAACACTCAAGCATCATTGTCAGCACCACTGATATCAACAATTACATAAATTAACTTCCTGTTTGTGTTAGGTTTTACACCGACGCAGTATAGGTCATTTGGCGATGTCTGAGCTTTACTGATGGATGAAGACCTCATGCCGCCAGCATGATAATCGAGTAGAAGCTTTGTTGTCGTAGTAGACACTACCTGACCTCGGTGGAGCTTGTATCCTTATAATCGATGCTGCCACAGCTCTGGGGAAGGTAGCAGGCCCTTGGCGTAATGGCAAGCTTTAATCGGGTGAACATTTGAAGTTTGATTCACATTTTTTCTACGGCCTGAATCTTGCACCAGTGTGTTAAATAACCCCGGGTTATCTCTAATAAACTGTTTGATAATTTTGACCTAAATTAGCTTCTTCCCATATTTGCGATGCATTAAAAGTCATTCACTCCCCAATCTCTTGATACTTTACTTCGTTCTCTGGCTTTTGTCGTCTCAAATGATGTCTGACTGCTGAAATTTAAGTTTATATAATTTTTGTTGGTTTTTCTAATTTCTTTATTGCATTCCCTAACTTTCGTGCGACATTCCCATGAATTCCGCGCGTATTTCGAAAGTGCAAAAATTTCAAAATCATACAAAATAGATGACAAGAAGGTATCGTGCAATCGTCGTACTATATTCTCGCGACATATTTAATAACTGTGTAAGATGTTTCGCAGCACACGCGTGCGACATGCGTGCGACAAGGACGTGGAACCCTGTGCGATGTTTGTCGCTAAAATACTAGTAACAGGCACGACTATCGGACATTGGAAGTCAAAATATGACAAGATTGATAAAAAATCCCTGTGTTCATCTTAAATGTGTCAAAAACTAAAAACAAATGTGAAACATGAGCCCCCTTTAAAATATGATAGAAGTTAAGATAAGGCTGGAAACTCCAAAGTCGAGTCTACGTGCGAGGTGTTCATTTTCTAGGTCGTTGTGAAAATAATTGACAAGACAAACAAAAAACTTTTATCACTATTTCACGTGTTATTAAGCTTCCAAATGAGACCAACCCCACGTCTTTACTCCTTCCTCGTTCATGGAATATCTATCAAAATGAGCGCATTCGTGCTTAAAATCCTTGGTAGACAAAATTGCGGCACAACGATTCCGTTCGTAAACATCGGCTAATACATGTTTGTCATCCGAGTACGCGTCAACAACATTCACATTGAATAAAATTTGATAATACTCCTAAATACATAAAATGTGACAACTGACAACCTTCAGTACCATCTGATGCACGCGGAATGCGAGTTTCAAACCACTAAACGGCTTTAAGACTGGTTTCTACGCCATTGTAAATCAGCTATTCGGTATTTTGTAAGGAGTCTTCTGATATGCCAATAGCAACGAAACCGGAACTTTTCGCACAATAATGCCTGTAATTTTACATGAACACTCACTATTTACTCTTGTAAATATTCAATATAGTTACATATATGTATGACTAAGATCGCACAATGAGTAGATTTCAAAATGTAAGTTTTTTTTTTTTTTTAGTAATTTTTGAATCAGACAGCAAATGACGAGAAGGATAAACACTCGTTATCTTACATAAATAAGCTTTTCCTCTTTATTCCTCAATAAATTAAGTTGTTATCTCAAAGGCACGTTTAAACACTTCCTTGTGGTAAATCAGGTATTCGGTTGTTATGTATTGATTTAGATGATTGATACATGCACTATCAAGGAATTCCGTAAAACAAAATGGGGGACAGAGCAGGTATAGGTAATCTTTTATTATTGTTCTATTGTATTGGACAGAGCGGTGACAAGTTATCTTTTTCAAAGTTACACGGCATCGTTATTTAGCTGTGAGTACTACCATTGTGTAAGCATTATTATAAGATAATGCCTTTTATGATGTTAAAAGTGCTCCACTATACGCATCGCACAAAACATCAACAGTAAACTCTACAACGAAGGAATGGAGGGTCACTTCATGCAGTGGTGGTCTTATTTTTTTTCTTAATTTGTTGGATTTTTAAATAACTTGAAAAAATTATAAAGCGTAAAAATATCGAAAAATAAATCAAAATTCCGAAATCATCAGGTACCCTCAGTTTAATAAGTGTCCAGCATTTTATAAGATCATTGATGTGTTATCAATTGATGTAATATTTATAATATGCAAGACATTCATTATATAAGAAAATAATTTACATTGGGAGAAGCAAAACTACCGAGTATAAATAAATTGTTCTTCATACGAAATGTTTTAGATAAAACTGTCGCTATCCAATACGATGACAAAATTTATAGAGTCAAACGAGATAACAAGTTATATATTAGAGACACCTAACTGCAAAATAAAAGTTGCCGTAGTTTAAAAAGATTTCAATATCAATAAGCTAATTATTAAATTTATATGTTTACAGAATGTGTGGTTTTTCAATAGCTTAGCTAAATGGAATTAATATGTTAATGTTTTGAAAGCATTCCCAATATTTCTATATGTATCAACAATCAGTTTTATTGTGACTGAGAATCTTTTTTAAAGATAATTTTGTTTAGGAAAAACATGCATAAAAGTCGTTCATTGTATTGATTTACCTTTTTTTTTAAAATAATGCCCAGTATCTTTTTCCTTTTTTTTCTAAAATGGTGTGGTATTGCATTTTACAAAGGCATCCTTGTTTTATGACAAAAATCCCGAAAACAGGTGTAGCACGTTGATTAATGTAGAATTAGTTTCTTTTAAGGATATGAACAACTCGGAGACGGTTACACAGATAGACATTCAACATTTGGAGCGGATTCCCCACCCTCATACCAGTCAATAGCTCAACCACTTTACCAAAGTTATGGTCAACAATCATACCAAAACCAAACGGTCACTGTAGTTAGTACGAGCACATCAATGGTAACTATATTTATCCAAACATATCAAAGCATTAGAGTTTTATAACTTGCCTGTTTGCATAATATCAGTTTTGTTTTTCACTTGAAAAGCAAAACATTGAATTACTAGTTGACTGTAATTCATATGAGAAAGTAACATTTCGCTATGTATGGCAAAGCAGTGACTCCTTTAGTAGCAAAGAAGGGAACATTTGTCTAGCCTGTACGTTCATGGTACAAATATAGGCTAGTTGCAGTGGTCACGTAATAGCTCTTTTACCATTGAATGTGTAAAAGCTTCAGAAATTGCATGGTTTAACAAGAATATTTGATATTTTTCTCTTGAAATAGACGCTGTCTGGACAATAGGACTAGCCTTAAGACACTTTTAGAGTTGTTTTGTTTTGTGTTTGTGATGATACTAAGCGATACTTATCACATTTAATCGTCTGTTCTATTTGAGTAATATGCTTCAGGGAAAGATGTATTAATTTCATTTATGCTAATGACAGTCCGACCCGCTGCCCATATGTTACCTACTGTTATTGTGACGCTGTCCGTCCTTACAATTACCTTGTATGTTCTTCAATATAACCAGTTTACTGACATTACAGAAATTGTTGCCTTACAATCTGTTCAATTGCTGTTTACATATTTGTTACTTACATTTACATACGGTATATTGCTCTTATGTGACAATAAAAATGTTGCATTATTAAAGATCTTCGAAAATTAAAATTATTAAGTAATGTTAAGTAACAAAAATATAGTGTATCAAAATCTTTGTTTTAACCATGTTTTATTCAGACTCAAACTGACACGGCGGACAGAGATGCCCAGCTAAGCGAACCTCCAGAGAATATTATAGCATACACTTTAATAACCTTCTGTTGCTGCTGGCTGCTTGGAATATTTGCCATCTATTTTGCAAACAAGGTAAATCAAAAATTAGTATATATAAAACAGTTACTTCCAAAGATTGTTGTATAGGGAGGAAGAATGACTGAAAGGTTTTTTTTAGAAGATATATCGATGGATGTCTGTTATGAATCGACCCGACCGCTAAGCTCAACAGAAAAAAAAATGGATAAGTTATCAAGGAAACGCTCGAGCGTTTCACGAACAAGGCGCAATTTGTTCGGCCATATCGAGTCTAACAGTAATTTAAAATACACTGGTTTTCAATTTAAATTTGTGTCAAAATATCAAAATCTAAAACTTCACATGCTACTTTTCCTGGAAAGTGTTATGACTCCATCTGTTAAACGTTCGGATTATCACGTGGTACAAATTGGTTTATTGAGGCGGGAAGTTCACACAAGGGCAACTGTACTTAATCCAGTCTCACCAATTCCATGCAATTATGGGGTGCATAAAATGACGAATTAAAATACATATGTATTATAATAAATAAATAATTTAAAAAACAATTACAAAACAATTAAGTCTCTTTATAACTAATTTATATCATATTTATAATTGACTACTGAAACGATATTCATTTTATTTTTTCAAGGCAAATATTTTGGCAAGACACGGTGATGATGAAGGAGCGAAGAAGGCGTCAGTTATAGCCCATAGATTGTTGATAGCCAGTGTGACTTTGGGGCTACTTTTCATTGCTTTATCTCTCTTTACGGTTTTATGGCTAAAATTCCATGTTGAATATTACTGACGAATATTATTACACTCATTGGAAGTGAACATATACTACACAAGATTATTGATTTTTGGTTTGTAAAAGAATTATTCATCAAACATTTTTGCCAATTTCATCTGTTCTATTTGTGATAATCATGGATCTAAGCTATTTCCAGCACATTAATAGTGTGTAATATAAATTCCTTACAGGAAAGCAAAAGGTAAAATATAACACGAAAATAATCTTTACCAGCAAGTACTATCTGGGTAAGCATATAATAATTGGCTAACGGCATTGTGGCAACCTCGAGCTCATTAAAAATGACGTTAAACAGCGAATAAATGGCAGAATATTATCGTTTTGCATGAATGTGTTCTCACACTTTTAGGAGTCATTTTGTAGTAAGCATCCGTCGACTGCGACACTATTTTTTGTGTGGTTTCATTGATAAGAGAAACGAATCATACGCTTCTGCAAGACTTTTAATGACGGCGGTGTTGAAACGTCACTACTATTTTGCTATATCATTATCGATCTGTCTCATTAAATCAAATTAATTACCGGTCTGGAAAACGTTTGTGTCTGTTTAACCCTTTTCCTCATGAGCATATTGCGAAAAAAAATGGCCATTTTCATTGAAAAGCCTCCTGTTACAAGTTTAAACTGCTTTGAAACTATGAAAATGCTTGAATACTAATCAAACTTGGCGGACCATTGCCTTTCTAACGACATGCTCAGTCTTAAATTTCCTGTTACCATGGCAACGAGGGTACGTCTCAAAATTGCCAAAAATCACTATTTTGCCTCAATTTTTTCCATAAAAATCTATTTCAAAGTGCTGCAACTTTTCAAGGGATTGAGATAGAGTCAAAGTTTTTTTCAGTGTTGGTTACACGTTACCTTATGATCGATCTGGGGTCATTTTTAGCCTCTCACAAGTCCAAAATTTTCTTGTCGATTAGGGGGACTGCCGCCCCTCTTCAAACCCCCCAAACAAAGAGTTTTTACTATCGCAGTAAAAAACTTTTTGAGCTTATGACAAATGAAATGAGCCGCGTCACGACAAAACCAACATAATTGGCTTGCGACCAGCATGGATCCAGACCAGCCTGCGCATCCGCGCAATCTGATCAAGATCTATGCTGTTCGCTATCAGTTTCTCCACTTGTAATAGGGTTGGTAAGCGAACAGCATGGATCCTAATCAGACTGCGCTGATGCGCAGGCTGGTCTGGATCCATGCTGGTCGCAAACCCATTATGTTGGTTTTGTCGTTACGCGGCTCAAATTATGTCGATTGCGACGATATCAATACGCAGTGATGACTTTACTTTAGAAAAATCAACGCTGATAGGCTGGCTAGCAGATTGTCTACGTCTCAGTCTTTTCAAGTCATGTACTTTTTTAACGAAATTGTTGAACTAAATTAATAATGTTTTGTCTAGATTTTTTTTCTTACTAATTTATTACACTTTATATTCAACAGGAATGTGTGCCTGTCTAGTTATTAAATAAAACGTTACACCTTAACAAATAATAGTATGGTGATCAAGGCGAGGTTATTTTAATGGTCGAATTGATGCTAATTCCACAATATTTTCGTACATCCTCTTTCATCTTACAGAACTGCAAACTTTGAAACAATTTATGATTATTACGCAGATAAAAGATACATCTTTTGTGGCGACATGGCCGAATGGTTAACGCATCAAACTATTTATCTAAGATCGCTAGCCACATGGGTTCAAACCACGTTAGGGGATAGTCGTTGTTTCTTTGAGCAAGAAACTTAACGCTCATTGCGCAGTACTTGTTGATTTCAGGAAGGGATTCGAAAGTGTGTCTATGAGCTTAAAGTTTCTTACACAATCGGATTAAAATAAATTCTGTATATAAAACAAAAATACATATTTACGTTCCTTAATGTGCACAGTAAAACATTGAGTAACAGATAGTCACTACATCTGTACTCACTTTGATTTTCTTATAAATGCATGTAGTTGCTTAAAAAGCCTTGGACCGTGCAGTTTCATTCTGAAATTATTAACAATTCTAAAGTAGTAGACATTGTTTACTGCAATGTCTGAATTATTTACGGAAAATAAATGTATTATTTGTTCAGTTTGTTTAGTTTCGCGTTTGAATGCGTAGTATCCTCTATTGTTCATATGTAGGTTTCATAATTAGGCATGGTCAAATGTTAATTACAAATATGAAGTGTTCTTTGTCACCATGTATCATAAATATCATATATACTTTTATATTTTTACTTTTTCCCCCGTTCATTATATTGTATTTGGAAGACGCTGTAAATGGAATGATCTTTACAGATAAAATGCCTTCACATTTGGTTTAGATTGTTTTTGTTGCTTTGAATAGAAAGAAACATAAAATCAAATTAAGTATGTGTCGTTAATTTGTTTAACATAATTGGAGTAATAGCAACAAAATCAAGTACGAGTTACATTTTAGAACAATTAAATAGATCAGATAAGGGTTAACTTTTACACAGGAGAAATGGACATATAATTTGATCAAAGTAAGTAGTTTAATGAAAGCGCTGGACAAGTTGTAAAAAGTATATATCTCGAACCAGGGTTCATGGGCTCGAGCCTTACAGAGGTCACGACTATGTTTCTTCAAACTACAAACAGGTTAGTTCAAAATGGACTCAAGAGTGATTTAAACAAGCAAGCTTTAAGCTTTCATGACATAAATAAGTTTCAATGAAGTCAGCTTTTTATTACTAGGGTCAACTATATACAGCTGCGCCGTTCTTGACCAATTCAATTTTATAAATGCTTACTCTAACCTATAGTCAATGAAAACGACCCTCGGAAGTTTATCTAAAAGTAAATTGATTATCTTAGTATAATATTATGACCCCTGTACACGAAGTAACCCACTCTAGAAATCTTAACGTCTCCTCCTCGCCCATCCAAGAAAAATATCACTCTTAATAAACAACATGTCGCAGTCCAAAAGATAAGGGGGTTTCTGATGGACGCTGTGGTTAAAAGTACTTGGGACCTGGACAGAGGGTCTGTAAATACACAAATTATGCGCTTTACAATAATTTTATTAGCAGTAAAGAAATCGCGCGCTCTCCCATCAAAATCTTTCAAAAATTTAGTGCCAAATACAAAAATATCAATGAAAAACTGATGAATGACAAAAATGGAAAGAAATGAATTAGAGCATCAAAACAATCTTCTTTACCTGTAAATACACAAATTATGCGCTTTACAATAATTTTTATTAGCAGTAAAAGAATCCGCGGCTCTCGCCATCAAAATCTTTTCAACTAATAGTGCGCATTCCCGTAGTGTAGTGAATCAATGAAGTAGGAAAGTTAGATAAGAGGCCCTTAATGGTGGTTAGTATATGTTCAATATGGGGATGAATGAAAAGATTGATGAAAATTTAAAGCTATAGGACATTTAATAGGGACAAACAATAACACATATAAACATTGTACCGTACTACGTATATGAACCTTTTGACATCCTTCCCCTCACAGGAAAAATGTCGTCCCGACATTTCAAAACACACAACTGCGTACTAAGCAGCTGTATCCATGGCACTACTTCAGAAGTACTATATCTGTCGTAAAAACTACTTAAATTACTACATTACTATGTAACTGGTAATAATACTACAGTAACGAATAGTAAATGAATCACCTTGCTCTCTCGACATCAAGACAAATTCAGTTTGAGTATTAGGCCTAAAATACTCATGAAATCATTGAGATTAGATCATAATTGCTTATTATAATCCAATCTTTTGATTATTTCTTAATGTTCCATTACGACAAACATTAAACTATAACGAATTATAGTGGCACAAAATGTTTGAAAGCAACATCAGCAATTATCTGCGCATAAGAATTCAAAAATTCTTCTAGTGTATCCGAGAACTGCTCATCTAAAAAAAAATCACACAGACACTGTTGATTATTTCAAAGTACATCTATATAAGGATAACTATAATATACAGTCACACCTGTCCTCATGCGTACCTGGAAATAATAGAAAACATAAATTCATCAAATATGTTCATATTTTATCAGCAGAAAGAATTACCTGTAAAAATAAAATAAACAGATAATAAAACTGTATAAACATCAACACAAAACATATATCAAACAGTTTTATAACTTAATTTCAGTAATAAAAATTAAGTTATCCAATCAGTGGATGACAGCCATTCGGTTTTCTCTTGGAACGGTAGGACGATTTGGATAAAATGGTTCTGCACAGGGATTTAAAGAAGACTTCCTTCGCTGTGGAATTACATACTTCTCAGTGGAAGAACTCAAAGAGGGGCAAATCTGATTTTGGAATATTTGATGAACTCACAGACCTGTTAAGGGGATTGCAAGACTCATGGAGGAAATATTCTCTTTTGGACTGTTAAGTGGGAAGTCCTAGAAATGGAAGGAGTAAATTTCTATGGACCGTTCTTGGAGGACCTCGACCGTGTTTCCTTCTTAACAGTAAAGACTGGGATATCTTCATTTACTTGGTCTATAACAAGATAAATATCCTTTCCCCACTTATCAGCAAGTTTATTTTTACCCTTTAAGACAACAGTCCTTACAAGGACACGATCACCTGACTTAAGTGTTGCCTCACGAACCTTAAGATCGTAACGTCTTTGTGACGACGGGCTTGTTTCTTAGATTCTCGAGAAGCGACCTTGTAGGCGAAGTCAAGCCTTTTTTGTAAGTCTCGGATATAATTGGAGTGGCTAGAAGATCTTCCAACAGCATCCGGTTCGATCCCCAAAAAGGCATCAATAGCTAAACGAGGATGTCGTCCAAACATAAGGTAATGGGGTGTGAACCCTGTACTCTCGTGACGCGTTGAATTGTACGCGTGGACGAGGGCAGATACATGGGCCTTCCAATTTACCTTTTGGTCATCTTCCAAGGTGCCGAGCATGTTTAAAAGCGTCTGGTTAAATCGCTCGGGCATTCCGTTTCCTTGCGGATGGTACGGCGTGGTTCTGCTTTTCTCCACATTGGCCAACTTGCACAGTTCCTGTATGACGGCACTTTCAAAGTTACGGCCCTGGTCGCTGTGCAAGCGGCTGGGAAAAACCGTAATGACATACAAACTGCTCAAATAGGACTTTAGCAGTTGTATGTGCGGTCTGATTACGTGTGGGAATTGCCTGTGCAAACCTCGTGAAGTGGTCTGTTATTACAAGGATATTCTCATATCCACCTGATGACATTTCTAGAGAGAGATAGTCCATGCATACAAGTTCAAGGGGATATGAGGACTCTACAGACACAAGAGGAGCAGAAAAACCAGCAGATGACTTGCGACGAATACACCTTGGACATCCACGCACACGCTGATCAACAAACTTATCTAGCCCTGGCCAAAAGAACCTAGATTTTATCAAAGATGTGGTTCGATCCCGGCCCTGGTGGCCTGCTTCATCATGAAGTCCAGAGAATACGATGTCATGAAAAAACACTTGGAACAACAAGCTGTATAACAGGGTGTCCATAAACAAGACCATTTCTATACAAAATGTCATCTTTGACAAACAAAAGAAGGCCATTCCGTAAGTACTGTCTTACAAGTTCAGGTTCCAAGGCGTTCTGGCGACTTGTCAACTTATGACCGGCCTTTACAATATCAAGGACTCTAGAAATAGAACTATCCTTTGACTGCTCAACATGCCAATCAATGTCACTAAGATAGGTACCTGAATCAAAATTATCACTTGGATTTTTGTTCAGTACTTGTTGAGAAACAGAAACACACTCAATGACAGGAAGCTCCCTAACATCAGCAAGAGCAGCTTGAAATAAAGCTTTTAGAATGTCAGGATAGAGAAAATTCTTTTTTCATCATCACATTCGTAACACCTGGTAATCTGGACAAGATATCAGCATCAATATTGTGTTTACCAGAGCGATATTGAACGGCTAAATTATAAGCAGAAAGAGCAGCTAACCAACGATGAGATTGAGCATCGAGCTTGGCAGTTGTGAAAACGTATGTTAAAGGGTTATTATCTGTACGCACCAGAAATTGGTTACCATATACAGATAATCGTGGAACTTATCTACCACAGCCCATTTCAAAGAAAGAAATTCGAGTTTGTGAGCTGGGTAGTTTCGCTCATTTGGACGTAAACCTCTGCTAGCATAGGCCACAACTCGTTCCATGCCATCTACTTTCTGGTATATGATAGCTCCTAAACCAAGACCACTGGCGTCTATATTGACAATAAATGGCTGGGAAAAATCAGCATAAGTAAGAACAGGTGCAGAGGTTAATTTTTCAATTATAGCCTCGAATGCCTGTTGCTGATCTTGACCCCAGATCCAAGGCGCAGCGTTTTTTAATGCATTTGCCTTTCTTGTTTGTAGGGTGACCTACAAGCAAATCATTCAATGGTTTGGCTAATGGGAGAATCCTGGAACAAAGCGTCTGTAATAACCAGAGAAGCCGAGGAAAGAGCGAAGATCTTTAACAGACGTTGGAACAGGCCAATTATTGAGTGCTGAAAATCTTATCTGGATCAGTCTTCACGCCATCTGAACTGACAACATGACCTAAATACTTCACCTCTCTCAAAAAGAACTCACACTTTGAACCTTTCAATTTCAAAACCAAATTCATCAAGCCTTTTTGAAAACAGCTTCAAGTCTCTGAAAATGACTTTGGACAGTGTCACTGAAAAATAATGACGTCATCTAAATAGATGAGGCATTCTTTCAAGTGCAACTCACCCCATGCAACGCTCCATAAAGGCGTTGAAAACGTTGCGGGAGCATTTGTAAGTCCAAAGGCCATCCGCTCACACTCGTAAAAACCAAGAGGCCCTACTGTAAAGGCGTCTTAGCTTTATCAGATTCCCTTAAAGGCACTTGCCAGAACCTGAACGTAGATCGAGCTTGGTGAAATATTTTGAACCCTGAAAGAGTGTCAATTGTCTCATCTATGCGAGGAAGTGCATAGGCATCTTTGACTGTACGATTGTTAAGACGACGGAAGTCAATGCAGAAACGAAGAGGAACCCACTTTTCTTCTGACCAATACTACGTTAGAGGAGAATGGATATGTGATGGCCTTACGCACAGCTTTCAACATATTTGAATATGCCTCACGCACTTCTTTTCATACATCCCTGGTGTATCCTCGATATGGATCCTTGAATATAGGATCAGACAACTCGATTCTTTATGTTCAACCATTTGAACACCCTAGATTCTGTTAAAACCAGATGAAAAAGATTACTTCCACTTGTTCAGAAACATCAGTGACTTGGATTGCTCTTCAAAAGAAAAGATTATCAGCAGGGATGTTTGATAACCTAAATCTTCAAGAAGATTTATCTTGGTTGTGATCTTTAGGAATAGAACCCTCTGACGGATCAAGGTTACGCACAACTTCAGCTGGCTTCAATTACATAAAACCGTCTTCGGACCAATCTTTACAGGTCTTGCTGAAAGATTCAAATTCTAACTGGAATCTTTGATAAAGCATTCCCTGGTCTAACATTCACAACCCTAGGACAAACACTTAGATAATGAGAAGAGTCAAGACTTTCAGTTACACCCACAGTCATCTCTCCAGTATCACGAACCTTGCCAGTCACTGTAATCGTCTGATACGCGCGAATTGTGAAAGATCTACGATTAAAAGATTTTACACGTACTGCTTGATGAAAAGAAACAGCAGAGAAAGCTTGTTGCCAACAATCAGGAATATCCTTCTGACTACTGGATGAGTAAAGATGTCGTATGACATTGGTACCAACAACAAGAGGAACAGAGGCAGAATAAGTAGTGTCTGGAACAATATAACACTGGAACTGAAATAGAAGATGAGTCTAGTGAAGGTACAGAAAGATCCAATATAATATAACCAATATAAGGAACTTTACAGTCATTAGCACCAGAAAATCAAGAGCAAAGTCTTCTAAAGAGCAAATTTAAAAAAAAATCCAAATTCTTGAAAATGACTCATTCCCGGGTTTAACATGAACCTGAAAACAAAAAGACTGTGTAAAAATTTACCCTTGATAGAAACTTAATATATTACCAATAAATACAAGTGTAGGGGTTTATTAAAAACCTTCTTGGCCCTTCGTGAAAGGTTTTCGCCCTTTAAAAACTTGGGGTCGGGGTCCTTGGGTTTTTCACGACTGAAGGGTGTAAAGGGGTTTATTACTATATCACCCCTACCAGCCACGGAAATTTGCTCCCCTGGTACTTTAGTGTTTTCAGCCCTTTCCCCTTAAAAACTGGGAAAATCTTTTTCAAGTTTCAACTCTGGTATTTTGTTTCTTCATCTGTGTGGATATTTCTTCTAAATGCTGAAGGGTCTTACTTTAACCACGGGCATTCCTTACGAACAAGATATACCAGAAAAGAATTACGTGAAGAAGATGATGGCTTTAGGTGCACTAGTGGCAGCTGGTGAAGAAAAGTGAACAGATTTACGGGCTGTAATATCCTGTTCAATCTGCCTAAGTTCTCTACGAAGAACATTAAAATCTTGGATGGACTCAAACTTGTAACGTGAAACATTACGAAGTTCATCATTCGAAGCCCTGACCAAAGACGATTGCGAAGCATGTCATTCTTGGCATATCTATCTAAATGTAAATTGGCATTGGTAAGAATCTGCTCTAACCGAAGACTATATTCAGCAACGACTCGTTAGGTTCCTGTCTGGCACAATAAAATTGTTCTTTCAGGTGTTCAGAAGTGGACACATTACCATAAATAGCTTCCAATTCAGCTATAACATCTGAAATAGTAGCCCATTCGCCCAAATGCAAGAGAACAGTTCGTGCTTTCCCTTTCAAACTAGTACGAATAGCTTCATGAAGAATATGGTCTGGATACAATCTACCTCTTAACAAACAATGCAAGTCATATTTCCAGACCTCGAACTCACAATCACCAGGCCTACTCTCACCTGAAAACTGAGGTAGTTTAGGAATACGAGAATGACTTACAGACAAAGAAGTATCCAAGTAAGAAGGTGGATACAAAGTATAAGGATTAGGTGGGGGAGGGCGTGCAGGTGGACAATTATTATCCATTTGAGGATGTATGCCTGCTCCTGAATGTCTGTTGTTGTACTCTCTAATTGGTGTATGAGTAGCATCCCTTGTAAAATCTAATGGAGGGGGAACAGGAGTGCTAGTAGAGACAGGGTTAACAGTACAAGAAGTAATAGGATTTACAGCATATCTACCAGAACGCTCAATCTGTTCAATATAATACTCTAACTCCTCTTCCCTAATGTGTGTAAGAGTATGAGTAGAATCCATCTCTGCATACACAAATTAAACACCAAACAAATCACTTCAAACTAGTAAAATCAAGTAGATCAAATATGGTTTGTACTATAAGTACTTTTTTATTGATCACATAGTCATAGCATGTCTATATTTATGTAATTTCTACACTCAAAATAAAATATTACAATTATGTTCCTTTCACTGCACCGTATAAAATGTAAATATATGCACTTATCAAAATACACTCAACTTTAGTTAGCTTAAATGTACTTCAATATGGCAAACTCTGAATTAATTCTATTCTGCGAAATAATTCCAAATTTATGAAATATGTCACCAATTGGACACCATACTTTTATTTAAAAGATCAATGGTAAATGTACATGTTGCAATTCATTCAAAAACACTCTTATCTTGTGAAGTACACAGTACACTATCTTTCATCAAATGCCAGTCAGCACAGTTGGAATAAATTGTTTGTATATAGTTACTAAAGTAATTTACCACAGGGATGTTACTTTAGATACTAATATCTGAACGTGATGTCAGATTTTGAATAAAACAAACAACAAAATTGTATTTCTCTAAAATATACAGCAACAGACAATTTTTTTCTCCAATATACACTAACAGCATACAGTTACAGCAGTGCATATATCAAAAGTGTATACATCTATTGACCTGTAAACAAATATATAGAAGTCACATTCTTCAAGGCATAAAATTTCACTTGAGTCACATTCAATGTAACAAAAGAGAAATATCAACAATCTGTCTTGATGTCAAGAGAAGCAATATAGTTCCTTTACCATCAAAGGCACTCTTACTAAATGTACTCACAACATGATCAGTTGAAGACTACACTTTAAACTACCATAACTTACCAGTACCACTGACAAACTATACATGTTCAAGGTTTCTAATAAATATCTGTTCCAAGCTGGCTTCCAAACACATCACCATAATATAACATAAATATATTTGCTATATTATCCAAATAGAGACAGGTACATCAAGGAAGGGCAAATATATGCATATTGGAAATGGGAGAGGTCTTTATGTAAGGAAAAGCTATAATATTAAGGCTTATGGTGGGAAATGTTAGTAAGATTCTCACCAATCACCAGAAAAGTACTGTTACAGAAAACATGCTAAGATCCTTCTGCCCAAGATGAACAACCCTTCAACTGTGATTCTGCAAGGTGACCACTGACACAATTTCACAACAGTTCAATGACAAATCTGAAATTTAAATAAAATATTGAGAATCACAAAAATAGAAAAATAACATGACATGTACAATATACAATATAGTCAATAAAATCTATTTAAATTATAAGTCCTGTTTTATATATCAATAACACTCAAATTCACTGAAGCAGACTAAAACAGTTCCAAATCCTAAAATGTATCACTCTTCTATGAATAATTAAATGTTCCAATAGAAAATGTCATCCGTGTTGTCATTCGCGAAATATGGTACCAATTAGAAAACGAAAGTAGAAATCGATCAAGTTGCTAGCTAATAATTTACAATAAAACAATTGTGCACACAAATATCTGGTCTAATTCATTTCAGAATATCACAATAAATCACTGCCGATGGTTAACTGACGTTGAAATAACATCAAACTTATACATTCCACCATTGTTTACATCCTGCATTCCAATATGCGTATACATGTACAAACAAATATGGCTGACTGATCTTTGCTCAACGTTCGTCCCCGGAACTATCGACCCAAAAGTTACTCCAGCGTTGTGGCAGCCCAAGTCCCACGTTGGGCGCCAATTGTCGCAGTCCAAAAGATAAGGGGGTTTCTGATGGACGCTGTGGGTTAAAGTACTTGGGACCTGGACAGAGGGTCTGTAAATACACAAATTATGCGCTTTACAATAATTTTATTAGCAGTAAAGAATCGCGGCTCTCGCCATCAAAATCTTTCAAAATAGTGCCAAATACAAAATATCAATGAAAATGATGAATGACAAAATGGAAAGAATGAATTAGAGCATCAAAACAATCTACCAATTTACCTGTAAATACACAAATTATGCGCTTTACAATAATTTTATTAGCAGTAAAGAATCGCGGCTCTCGCCATCAAAATCTTTCAAAATAGTGCGCATGCGTAGTGTAGTGAATCAATGAAGTAGAAAGTTAGATAGAGAGGCCCGTAATGGTGGTTAGTATATGTTCAATATGGGGATGAATGAAAAGTATGATGAAAATTAAAGCTATAGGACATTTAATAGGACAAACAATAACACATATAAACATGTACCGTACTACGTATATGAACCTGTGACAAACACGTATTGGCGATAGAACATAATATCTCTCAAACTAAAAAATTTACTTCCAAGTATATGCAAAATAATTATACATATTTAGATGTTGAAATCGGTTATCCTGAAAGTTTTAAAATTTTCTATTGCTTTTTTTCATTGACAATGTACCAAACCTTATTTCTTATAGTGATAAAAAAGTAAACATTAAATGACAGTGTCGGTAAGTGTCTGTATTAAAGCTTTAACGCTGTAAAATGCTGATCCTTGCTTCCACCAATTTACTTGTAAATGATTGAATACCGTTCAAACAAGCCCTGATGTGGGTAAACAGGGTAGAGGAGTACAAGGGAAATGTTGCCTCTTTTCATCATCTCTCAAGAACAGCCTCAAGCACACTATGTAGAGAAGTTAGTCAGCATTTGGAAAGATTTAAGTCTGCATATAGACTTGAACCCCAAAACTGGTCAATGATAATGTCATTTTCACATCTGAAATAAAGAGAATGTACAACTTATGTTGGACCACAGCAGCTTCCAGTAGTTTTCATTCTGTTCAAGATCATTTCTATTGAAGCCAATGTTATGCAGGTTTCTGAGGGAATAGGGTCATTTTCTTCAGATGAAGTCAGAATTATATAGAAATAGGGTCATTATTCTATAGAATATAGAGTAATTATTCTATGGGGTCATCAGCTTGGTTTTAGTTCCGTTCATTCTGCGATTCCTTGCACATACAAGTAATTTATTCTTAAAAGAGTTTGACAATATTGACATGAGACATAAGGACACTGTCAGTGATAATTAAAATGAGAATTACCGGCATTTGAATTAAAATCATTTACTAGTTATAGGAATATCTAGGATTCAAAGCCAGAAATTCAAAAAAAAGCATATCCGCCATTCTTTCAGCAAAGCCATCGGGTGAACTTATCGAACATAATGTTGTCTTGGTTAGGTTCTGGTTACATTTAAATGATGGTCCAAAACATAAACAAGAGGGCCATGATGGCCCTAGATCGCTCACCTGAATTATCAAACTCATCCAAACAATAACCTAGACAAGCATTCTGACCAAGTCTCATGACAGGTGAGTCAAAAATGTGACCACTACAGTGTTCACAGGGATTATCCATATTTGAGCAGTGTGACCTAGTTTTTTACCCAGGTGACATATATTCAAACTTGACCTAGAAATCATCAAAACAAACTTTCAGACCAATTTCCAGGATACTTGGATCAAAACAGTAGCAACTAGAGTGTTAACAAGATTTTTCTATTTTTAGCTCCTAGTTTCACATGCGATTTCGAACTCATCCAAGCAATTACCTTGACAAGCATCCTGACCAAGTTTGATGATAATTGAGTCGAAAATGTGACCACTAGAATGTTAACAAGGTTTTTCCATATTTGGGCGGTGTGACCTAGTTTTTCATCCAAGATGACCCATGTTCGATCTTGACTTAGAAATCATCAAAACAAACTTTCAGACCAATTAACAGAATATTTGGATCACAACAGTAGCCACTAGAGTGTTAACAAGATTTTTCTATTTTTAGCTCCTGTGACCTAGTTTTTCATCCGAGATGTCCCATGTTCGATTTATTCCCAGCAATGACCTAGACAAGTTTCCTGACCAAGTTTGATGACAATTGAGTCAAAATTGTGACCACTAGAGTGTTAACAAGGTTTTTCTATTTTTAGCTCCTGTGACCTAGTTTTTCATCCGAGATGACCCATGTTCGAACTCATCCGAGCTATTACCTAGACAAGCATCTTGATCAAGTTTGATGATGATTGATTCAAAAATGTGACAACTAGAGTGTTCACAAGGTTTTTCTATTTATAGCTCCTGTGACCTACTTTTTTCATCCGAGATGACCCATGTTCGAACTCATCCGAGCTATCACCTAGACAAAAATGTGACCTCTAGAGTGTTCACAAGGTTTTTCTATTTTTAGCTCTTGTGACCTAGTTTTTCATCCGAGATGACCCATGTTCGAACTCATCCGAGCTTTCAACTAGATAAGCATCCTGACCAAGTTTGATGATGATTGAGGCAAAAATGCGACCGCTAGAGTGTTCACAAGCAATTGTGGACGGCCGGACGGACGACGGACGACGGACATTCACCGATCCTAAAAGCTCACCCTGAGCAAGCTCAGGTGAGCTAAAAAGCATTCCATTTATAAAAACACGTGATATGAGTACATCACATATATTTTACACAAAAGTCCATTCCACTTGGTAAACTACTTTCTCCAATCTCCAAACATATAAGTTACAAGGTAAGTTACAAGTTGAATTACAAGGTGACCTGTAAGATACATTACAAATCCTTACTTCAAGTAATACATATATAACTTGCAATATAATACATTACAATCTCTGAAAGAAATCATTAATCTTCTCACAAAAGCTCACGATTAAATTAACACTCATTACCAAAAATGGATGTAAACAACAGTAGGTCAAAACATACCTCTATACAATTAATCCATTTTACAATACACTTAACCTATTCAACATATAAACGAAAATAAAACAGCCAGAAGATGCAACACATCTACCCTCCAAACACTAAAACTAAACTCAGCTTGGCGGAAAAGATGCCTCGACCAATTAAAATCAAGAATTAAAAATAGAACCATTCAGAACGAGGTTAAAAACTAATATATTAACCAAACACAGAATAACCCTGAAACTCGGACCTGTCACAATACTACTTAGATTATAAATATATACATGTACATCGTAGATACTAGCCATAGAAAAGCTATTGAAAAACAACATGAAGATTAATCAGCCTCGGGTCAATAAAACAATAGAAAAACTTTAATCTTCCTTGTTGTAAAAGTAGGCAAGAAGGCATATGGTGTTTTACAAACATATGCGCAACGATTTGAACGATTTCAGCTGAACTACAAAAAATAGCATCGTAAACAAAAATGGCGGAGGGAACAGGTACTGTGAATTTCATGATTTTTATTTTGTTTTCTAAAGCGATTGATTTTTCCCAAAGCTGACATAAATTTGCTATCAAACTGATATTTGTACATTATATGACACGTTGTTTATAACAAAATTAATCAGTTAACAACACAAAATCGCAAATATATGACACAACTATTTGATTATTATTATTTTAGGGACTTGGTTTAACAAGCAAAGGAATTCATCAAATTATTTCATTATCTCTTTTTTTTGTATAAAGAAAAATCGAAAAGGTGTCTCAGCGGTCATGCCTTAAAGCAACATAAGTTGATTGACTAGTTTTCAATCATAAAATCTTACTTGAAACTATACAGATCAAAACTTTACACTTAACAGTTTACATTTTCCAGTAAAAACTCATTTTGAAGATAAAAATTGAAATAAAGCTACAGCGGTAGGTTTCTTTAGAAATAATAATAATAATAATAATAGTTATAATAATAATAATAATAATAATAAATTAATACTACTACATACTACTACTTCTGCTGCTGTCCCAAAATAAATGTAGTATAAGAAGTAGTAGTAGTAGTAGTAGTATGTAGTAGTAGTAGTAGTAGTAGTAGTGGTGGTAGTGGTAGTGGTAGTGGTTTGGAACTACACGTTTTATCTTTAAACACTGACACTTTTGCATGTTTACAATATAGTTTTAAAAACTAAAACATGAGTAGATGGACAATTATAATTTTACACAATGAGCTATATTAGTAATAAAAAACAGCAAATAAATTTCCGCTCAACATAAATTATTACAATACATTTTGAAAAAAAAACAGGTCAAGGCCACCAACTGATGGTTTATGTTTAATTTGATTCAACATGTATTAAAATACATCAGACCAGTGTCAAGTGTTTGATTTGAGTCAGGCTACAATTGCAATTCATTGATTATTTCATTTTATGATATCATAGAAACAAAGGGAAATGCCGACGATTAAACAAAATATGAGAATATTGTTTTTGAGGGATTTCAAATACATAACATTGAGCTGTTTTCGTTGTTGTTGATCTTTTGCTGTTGTTGTTCTTGTTGTTATTTATCCTGTATATATTACTTTGAATCATAACATTTTTAACGAATAATATTTGTTTTATTACCATGTGATTATTTAACGTTATCATAACAGTCCAGGATTTGCATAGTAATTGAAAAATTGAAAAAATGCGTTTTTAGGATAAACTTACGGCACACCCTTTTGTTAAATGGCGGTTACCGGTGATCATAGATTGGTCGTTTATGTGCCTTAAATTTTTATTTTTAGTTGTTGTTGTTTCTGTCACTCTGTAAAATCATTATTAACTAATAGCATGAGTCTATATTTGCATTTATTTTTTAAGTTGTCCGAAATATTTAAGCCGACAGAAAATCAAATATTCACTATACATATACTAATTTGTTTGTTTTTGGGTTTTACGTCACATCGACACAGTATAAGTCATATCACGACGTTCCAGCTTTACTGGTGGAGGAAGACCTCAGGTGCCCTTCCGTGCATTATTTCAGACACGAACGGGCACCTGAGTAGAACCACCGACGTTCCGTAAGCTAGCTGGATAGCTTCCTCACATGAAAGAATCCAAAGTCCCTGTCGGGATTCGAACCCACAGTGGTGAGGGGCAAGTGGTTTGAAGTCAACGACCTTAACCACTCGGCCACGGACGCCCCCTATACATATACTAAACTAAAGTAAAAGACAGTAGCAAATACATTGCAATAACGCTTATTATAATATTTTTTGTTCTACAGACCGAGTAAAATACTAACAGAGTATTACTATTAAACAAATCATCAAATTATTACCAAAATAGGTATGTATCAGAACCTTTTCCATTCAGGATATTGCCATCTCTTTAGTATGATAACACTTCCGGCTACTAAGGGGCAATTCTTCCGCCAAACAAAAGGGAACACTTCCATCAAACAATTCGACAACACTTCCATTCGATTAGAGGCAACAATATAATGCAAGAAAAAACCAAAATGTATAAAGAAACGAATGTAATCTTCCTTACTATTACAAAATGATTCATACTAGATCTCAACAAGAAACACTGATATATTATGTTATTGTTTAAAATTACATTATTAACAAAATTATTTTAATAACACTGTCAAAGAAAACATATTTATAAATGTACATGTAATACCTCAAAAGATCGGTCTTTCCAAGTATCTTTCACAAAGCTGTTTTTGGATAAAGATTTAAAGTAAGCACTCATAGTTGCTGTACTTGATCGAAATTAATGTAAACCACATATAGAGGAGTTAAAGCCTAGGCCAGTTCAAGTGCTTTTAAACGTCTCTAGTTTAAGTATATGATAAACCTTGGTTGAACATCACATTTGATTAATTGCCATTTAATTGCGTCATTAGATTCGTCTGATTTCCTCGCTGCTTGTTAAAAACTATTTCCCGTTTTGGCAATGAGTACATTCCACCCATAAGTAGTTTACTTTTCTGTGCACAAAACAAAGATTGAAATTTTAACCTTTATTATACCAGAATATTTTAAATCTAAAGTTTAACTTATTTGTTTCAAAAAGCAAACAATAAAATAAAAAAGGTAATTATTCTCAAATTTCCCAATCCATTCTTAAAAGCAAATATATATATGATAATCGTTTAATTAAGACACAGTCCTAACACAAACTTCCGTACTTCCAGACTTCCAACATTAACCCATTGTTTTACATGGATTTTCTAAAGATACTAACTCATGACAACAGTTACTCGCACAAACGCTGCATTTCCACAAACTCATTCTCAAACAGTTTAAAGACACTGAATACGTTCTTACAGTTGCAGATGAGGCGGGTGGAAATGAATATTGAAATTGTTTATTTTTTCTTTATTTTATTTTGCCAGACATAACATCGTTTTTCACCTTTGAGAAAAGCTCATGGCTGTTAAGCAAACAACTATACAAGTCCTGTACATCTCACCAACGCTGACGGATAAAAATGTTTGTAACATTGACAATGTAAAAACTTGTGTCACTCCAGAGCCCGTAAAAGCACATTCAAACTTTTTCCGATACGAGAATAATTTCACATATTTTGCCACTCGTAATACAATGTGTTGAATATTGAAATAATTATATATTGATGTATCAACTGCATTCAGCGAATAGGAAAATCTATTGTTTCCACTAGCGCCGGCTCCATTGTCGTCGTCACACACTAGTTATGTTTTTGCATAAAAGGTAGTATCTTAAAATCTGCTGAAATTAAAAGGTTGAACCGTCACAAACTTGTTCGCTGTGGTGTCTCTTACATGAATGACCCATCTCTTGATGTGTCACCATCTCTATCTCTGTCAAACCGCCGTGATCAAACAGTTCTTCTTCGATGCCGAATTGGACACACTAAAATTACCCATTCTTATCTCCTTACAAATGACAATGCCCCTTTCTGTGTAGGTTGTAATGAAAATTTTACTGTCAAGCATTTTCTTCTTGAATGTCATGATTATTCACAGGCCCGTAATAGATTTTATTCTGTAAATTCACTCAAAGAACTTTTTAATACAATTCCATCAAAAAACATAATTGATTATTTGAAAGAGATAAACTTGTGTTCTAGGATCTAATTGGTTCATTTCTATTGTCATTTACAAAGTTTTACATAACATTTTAAGCCTATTATAGCATTCGGCACGATATGGCCAGTTATGTGTTGACGTGCCGTAAAAATCCAAACAAACAAACAAACAAACATGAATGACTCAGGTCCCATACCTCTTAGTTACCGTTATACAGAGTAATGCCATTTATCAATCAGCGTGCATATACCATCATAAAGAAGATGTTGCGAATGCTGTCTTATTTCAAAGGTAGAATTCCGTGTTTACAGGGAATAGCTGCGATGTATTAGAACAAACATTTGTTATCTAATACATACATTCATCGGTATTCAAATGATTCTTAGATAACTTGGCTTTTAATAAACCGTTTGATAATTTTAGTGAAGACGGCAGTTTGTAAACCACATCTCAATAGAATTTAGGTTTGTTAATACCTAGTCGTAAACGTTTGCACAAGGTTCATAGATGTCCGGAGTGCTTTTTACTCGCATAAAACTTGTCAGTAGTGAAAGTAAACTAGTTCTGCTTATCTCAAAGGCCTAAACCACATATTAATAAGTACATATTCACTTTTCATGACAATGAATTGACACATTTCAGAAGGTATTTAAGTGACAGCTCTTGTTTAGTTTTTGAAAGTTGTTATCGCATTCGTATGCCATCGTTTCCAATTGTATATGCCCAACAATTACAATATGCTTACGGGCAATTATTAATGTAATCATCGGAACGAAACAAATCATATGCGTTTTTTATGATTTACTGGTGAAGGGAGATCTCGTGTGCACTTCCCTGCATTACTTCAGGCACGAAGGTTCCGTAAGTTAACTGGACAGTTTCTTCACATAAAATAATTTAAAGTCCCTGTCGAGATTCGAACTCTTGCTATCAGGGAAAAGTGGATTGAAGTCAACGGCATTTTCTTCTCTGGCACGGACAACCCGTTTTATAACAGATTTTGGTTCCTTTTTACAAGAGACACTTCATTGTAACATACAGAATTAGAGCTCCTGTATGAACAAACGGGACATACTGTAGGCATATGTTGCATTGTCTGGTTGAAAGTGTGTAGTGACCTATTGTTATAGGGATTTACTTGTTATTATTCATTGCGTAGTAAATCTATTTTGAGGTGTTTATCTTTATAGGAAGCGACCTACCCGAAGACTACTACACAGATAAACATGTTACATTTGAGGCGAATGATGTACCCCTTTATCAGCCAGTTATCCCTCTGTCGCAACGAGGTTATGGCCAGCAGACATGCCCGGTGCAGCCAGCCTACGGACATAACACAGAAACAATAGTGGGTTTATCATACAGTCCTTTAAAAAATAATTGTCTTAAGTAAAAGATTGTATGTTTTATAGATGAAAGATACCGGCCAGTTTCATTTGAAAATGCATCATATGAATGCTATTATTCTATTTCGTCTTTCGCGCGAATAGTTTCGATTTACAAAGCATTACAATTTTTCGGGCGCGTTGTGTGAATCTTTATCCTTTCTAGAGCAAATATGCTCTTTACTCTTATTTGAGTAATTCAAACTTGTTGTTAACAAGTCATCTTGGATTCTTCTTTAAAACTGTATTGTGCCATTTTACGTGACAAATTCATATCCCCCTAAACGACACATCTTGCTATACTGCATGGAAACATTTTATTTCGAAATCTTTAATAACCAATAATTCAAAACACTGCAAGCTCTGGTGTATTGATTGCTTAATTATACTGTCCATTGTGTCGTCAGGGCCACGGGAGTTAATCCTACTTACCCAAAATCTTTAGGGGACATCTTCTGCCAATCGGTAATGTACCTAACAAGTAACATTAACCTAAGCTTATTCCTTCTTAAGTTAATGATGGGACATGGAAAAGTTATCGTACCTAGAGACCCACGCCATCACAGTATGTCACATCTTTCAGTGGTGGTATTAATAATACTAATTTTTAACTAGATTTTGGTCGTTCAGCCTTTTTCAGAAGCATTTTTTACCAAATGGCAAAAACAGAAGAGATTTAACATCGTAAACAGACAGCGTTATGAATGACTGGAATTGTTCATCATAATATTATGGACGATATGGTTGTTGTTATTGTTTTAGTGTTTTTTTGTAATTTATTGATTTAGTTTGTTTAATTTATTCTATTTTGCCCCTCACCGCTGTAGTTTCGAATCCCGACAGGGACTTTGGATTCTTTCATGTTAGGAAGCTATCCAGCTAGCTTACGGAACGTCGGTGGTTCTACTCAGGTGCCCGTTCGTGCCTGAACTAATGCACGAAAAGGCACCTGAGGACTTCCTCCACCAGTAAAGCTGGAACGTCGCGATATGACCTATACTGTGTCGATGTGACGTACCCCCCCCCCCCACTCCCGCCAAAAAAAAAAAAAAAACAAACAAACAAAGAAAATTTATTTTATTTTATTTTATTCACCATAGCATTAGATTTTTTTCAGATTTCTAACTTAATAGGCATGCATTTTGAATACCAGCTATTTACAATTTCTATTTTCTATTTCTGAATTAAGCTTGTTATATACTTTTAAAAACATGCTAAAGTCTTAAATTTTAGAAAATTTGTTATCAACGTGTTTCTCAATGGGAAAATTAAAATCAAATAAATATCATTTATTATAAAAATAACGGTTAAAAATAGGCAAATGCATATTTTTGGTCGTTTTGTTTTAGGATGTTAATCAGCCACAAACAGCCAACATAATAATCCAGCAGCTACCTCCAGATTGTTTGATGGAATCAGTTTTAGCTTGCCTGTTTTGTTTTTGCCCTACTGGAATATTCGCCATCTTCTTTGCATGCAAGGTAGGTTTAATATATAGTTTTATGTTATAAAATAATTACTTCCTCCCAAGTCGATTAAATCATAAGTATATCTTAAGATCTACAACTGCCTTTCAGGATTACTCGTTAATAATAGCTTAAGGTCTTAAATAACTTTAAGGTTTAGCTATTATAAGGGATAAGTAGTTTACTACAAGAATGTGTTACTTTAGGGTGGTTGATGTGGCCTTTGATCTGATAGGGTCTTACGGTCAAGTGAAAAGATCTAACTTTATATCTACTATATGATTTTAGTTTCGGTCTTTATATAGAGAGTAAGGTATATAATCGACTTGCAGGTGCCCTTTAAGTTAGCTCAGTACTTGAACATTATGTGTCCTAATGCTAGGTGTCATAAACATGTATTATAAGGTGTTAAAAACCTTTTTAATCAGTTACGTTTATCTGATATATTTTTTCTAAGGCAAACGATCTGGCGAACTCTGGTGACTATGCCGGGACAAAAAGGATGTCTGAATACGCAAGAATGCTGACTATGCTCAGCGTGACAATTGGAATTAGTCTGTTGCTCGTTATGGTGCTCCTGGAGCTGCAATATCTCGACTTTAACTACAGATAATAATGCCCATGTAATAACTTGTGTACAGGAATAACGATAACAAATTTACGTTTAATGACAATTACTTTTGCCCATGCAATAACAGTGACCAATCAAGTTTGTTAAACATAGTTGACTATTTGTTTCATCATATGGTTCAATTCGGAAACTGTTCTAAACATGATGAAATTTACCACGTATCAAGCTATTATTGGATACGAAATATACTTACACATACAATCATGGAATGTGAACATGCAATCTTACTTACATGGTTATTAATTAAAATATCTAATTTCATAAAAAATCTAATTAAAAAGAAGTTGGATTATTGACATAGCATTTGGGATTGATACTTTAATTTACAAAGCATTACCTTTTACCTTTTAACCTAGTTATATACAACTAAATGACAAGCCTGATCCGTCATGGTGCCAAATCTGCAAAGGTATTCCAGCCATTCATATTCATATGAATAAGAACTAAATAAAGTGTAATTGTTTCTTGATCATATTTCATTAACTTAAAGGTTTATTATATTGTTCATGTTCCAAACTTACCCCTTAGCCTAACAATTACTCTATTTTTTATTTGTTAAGATTTAATGTATTGCAACATTTTTGCTTTAACAAAACAATTTGTCAAGCATTATTTTATGTTCACTCTGTATCTACCCACATTCCTTTTTATCTTGCAGCATCTACACATATCTATGGTAGATGAATAACGTGAAATACGAAAATGTAACCCAAAGATATTGTGATGAACGAGTACAGTTATATGCCAATGAATGTGCAAGTTGGTATAACGTCCCACATGCTCTTGTTTCGGGTGTCACCTTACATAATAACCGTTAGAGATCATTACCAATTGTCCGTATCAAAGTACGAGCCGAAGGAAAATAACGACGAAACAGTTTGCTTTTGATGGCAAGTAACAATGTATTTTCGATATAAAAATACGTTTATGGACAAAAAACAAGTGAAAATTGTATAATTGTCTATGACTATCAGACTGTTAAAAAACATCTTTACGTTGCATTATATGCCGAAGGAAACATTAGTTAACAAAACGCTAACCCATCTGTACACTGCATTGCACTGCAGTTAAGCTTAAAACAGATAATCTGTAAGGCATTAGCTAAATAGTTCAGTATTTTGAGTCATTGGATAAGGTCACACTTAAAGGTCAAATATTAAAAAGTCTTCATTTCATAATAAAAAGTCTTCATTTCGTGTCCGATCCTTAGCTTTTTAAACAACTGAACACTTTTTTAAAATAACTTGGCACAAGTGATAACCATAATGAGACGATGTGCAGAGCGCAATAATTGGGTTGCTTACCCCAAGGTAAAGGTCACATCTAAAGGTCATATGTTAAAAGTCTTCATTTTATAATTATAAAAAGTGTACATTTCGTGTCCAATCCAAAACTTTTAAACCACTAAACATTTTTTTAATAACATCGCACAAGTGATTACCACAATGAGGGGGTAAAATTTCTAACAGCTAAATATTGATTAATTTACCCCATTTCAAGGTCACTTAGGTCACCAAAGGTTTTCATTGCATAATAAAATATCTACATTTCGTGTCCGCTTCATTACTTTTTAACTGCTTGACATATTTTGAAATTACTTTGCACAACTAATAACCATTATCAGATGACGTGCAGAGCGCTATACTTTGGGTGTTACCCGAAAGGTCAAGGTCTCACTTTAAGGTCAAATGTTAAAAAGTCTACATTTCGTGTCGCTCCGTAAGTTTTAATTGCTGACCTATTTAAAAAATAACTTGGCAGAATTGATCACCATAGCAAAATAATTTGGGTTACTAGCTCAAGGTCATGGTCACACTTAAAGGTCAAGTGTTAAAAGTCTACATTTCGTGTCTTCTCCATAACATTTTAACCATTGCAGAGGGCAATAATTAAATTGCTACCCCAAAGGCAAAGGTGATTCTTATAGGTCAAATGTTAGAACGTATACATTTCGTGTGTGTTTATAACATTAAAACCGCTGCAATGTTTTCTTTGCAGAAATAATCACCATTATGACACTTTTGGCAGAGAATAATAATCAAGTCAAACCCTGAAGGTCAGGGTCACACTCCAAGGTCCAATGTAAAAACACCTATTTTTCATGTCCGCTTTATAACTTATTGACAATTCAAAGGATTTAAAAGCACTTGGCAAAAATGATCCCACCATGACACAATCTGCAGAGCTCAACATCCAGGGTGCTACCCCAAGGTCAATGATATATATTATCCATATTTTTTTTTTTTGACAAATAAACACCAAATAAACACCATCGTGAGACTATGTGCTTATGATATGCGTGGCACAACATCAAGGTCATGGTTGGCAAAATGTCATGAAGTACACATTCATGTTCATTGCAGAAGGAGATTTAGCTGTCCTTCAGAATTCCTTTTTAAAAAAGAACCAACTTTACTTTAACCTTAACAGTGAATGCAAATAGTCGTGCCATCTTAAACGAAGGTTTAAACACACTGGGCAATGAGGGGTCAAACACTTCGGCAGTGGGGCAGTGGTGTATTCGCCACAGAAGCTGTGGACAGATATTGCTTCCATTTCATCTTCTCACCCTTTCAACCTACCCCCGTTAACTCGATTCCCGTAAGAGACTTGTTTCTAGATAATTAGTATTGAAGATATATTACGATGTTATATAAAATAAGTCCTGACCACGAGATAATATCTTGAGGCCTAAAGAGAATAAGTCGTGGCCACAAGATAATATGTCGTGACAACGAGATTATATACTGAGGCCTCAAGATATTAAGTTGTAGCCACAAAATAATACGTCGTAGCTACGAGATTATATATTGAGGCCTCAAGATTATAAGTTGTAGCCACAATATAACAAGTCGTGGCTTCGAGAATATATTTTGAGGACTCAATATAATAAGTTGTGGCCACGAGGTAAGAAATATCCAAAATGTCACCTTTATTCCTGCCTTTTGTGCAATGCAGCAGTTTAACCATACAGCAGATTCGATCAACCCGAATTACAAACGTTAACAAATTGTTCTAAAAATAGACATCCGGTTATTTACAAACGCATGTATACCGATGTAAACAATTTTACTGATCTACATAGAAAAAGAAACATTGGGATACAAAAAATGGCGGAGAGGGCAGGTACTGTTAATTATATCAATTTCTATTATTTTTTAAAGTGGTTGAAAGATTAGATTTCAGAGCTCTCAAGAATTTGCCATAAAATTGTAATACATGCTCATTAAATGAGTTATTAAATGTTAATGTAGTTCTTCTATGCACGACATAATTGATTTTCTGATTGTAACATGGTGTAATTTAGTACATGTAGTTCTTTGTGGCTGGGCTTGAACGAAAAACAATCGAAGAAAAAAATCTAGATTTTGATAAAAAAAAGGTGAGAATTATTTGAAATTTAAATTCGTATTTAAGAATTAATGTGTATAGAATCTATACATACTGGCAACGATTTATATGTCCAATAACTTTCCAAACACATACTTTTCGTGACTGGTTTTGTTTTTCATGTGTATAGATTTATATTTGTTTTATTTTTACTGCACCATAAGAACGATTCATTCAGTTCCTGCTTGAAAAGTATATGATTTATCGACAGTCGTTCTATAGTCTTTACATAAAGGCTAAAATGATTTTGCAGGAAACAAGTTATATTTTTTAATTTCCGTTTTACATTTGTTACCAGTGGTCGTTACAGTGCAGTATAAAAGAGTTACCGAAATCTGGACATGGCTGCCATCTTATAGGTGATTCACTTAACATGTATTACAATACGACATATCTGTTTAGGTGTCGAGTGTCTCTTTGAGTTTGGGTATAAAAGAAATTAATTTAGTTGTCTATGAATCGTAGCGGAATGCATTCATGGGAATATGATTTTTAAGAGAGCCAGAGCTCGTTTTTTTTTTGTAATTATATTATTTCAGCAGTCTGTGCCTTTCATAATAAGTGGCGGCGTGACAGAGTGGTTAACGCGTCACACTATTAATCTAAGGACTGCTGACCGCGTGGGTTCAAACCCTGTCAAAGGCAAGCCGTTGTTTCCTAAAGCAAGAAACTTTACATTCGATGCTTAGTACTAGTTAGTTCCAGGAACGGATTCGAGATTGTTTCAATAAGCTTCTAGCTTCCAAAACAACCGAACTAAAATAAATTAGTATAAACTAATAATTTGAACATTTGTTTTGCAATGTAAACGTAAATAACTTGATTCAAATGCCGGTGGTTATATAGTGCATAAAATGATTTTCGTTTTTTATGTTGGTTTGTTGAAGATATAGTTTGATTTTATTAACCTGTCGATTGCATACTGATTATACGTTACGTGCACACAATATATAAATCTTCGATAAATTTTCGGTAAGTTCCGTGAGATGTACGCAGTAAGATATGATTTAATTTTAATGTGTTTTTTGTATTAATCATACTGAGCGTTGTAGCGCAAAAGGGTAAACTGCGGGGTTGGCATAGCGCCAAAATGATATCGCAGTTGTCTCTTCCTTGATTTACTGTTAAATAATAGGCAAAGCTTATTTTGGATATCATGACTGTAAATCAATACATTTCAATAGAAAACACTCATCTGAATACTGTTAAGCTGCATTTTATGATAATCACAATGTTTACGAAAGCATATTCTCTAACGGCGACTCAAACTAGAAATTATTATAAATAGTTTGGTGTTGGTGAGAGAGGGCAATATTACGTTAACCAGTTCATAGAAATCGATTGCTACTACATGTTTTATTCTTCTGAAAATTGTGCAATATAGTTATGTAAAATTATGTCCTGAATGATTGATAAACGATGTGTTGTTTTATTAACTTATCGTGAAATTAACGAAATGTATACAATTGATAAACGGTGTGTTGTTTTATTAACTCATCGTAAAATTAACGAAATGTATACAATTGATAAACGGTGTGTTTGAATATCAAGATTCTAAAGATCTTGATACATACGGAATATTATGTTGTAGCAGTTTTCTGAGGCTTTGTATTTTTCTACGAGCAGGGTGGAAATTGATATCTCGCGAGACCGACGATCGAACGAAATATCAATTTACCAACGTTGCGAGTAGAAAAATACATAGTCTCAGATAGCTTATACAACATATTTTCCTTTTAAAATATACCTCTTCGTTTTATTCAGAAAATGAAATGCAGTTGTCAAGAAATAAATTCATGACTGACGGATGAATACGTAATTCTTGCAAAACCGGTCACGCCTTTTTAGCTCACCTGTCACAAAGTGACAGGGTGAGCTTTTGTGATCGCTTTTCGTCCGGCGTCCGGCGTCCGTCCGTCGTCCGTCCGTCGTCCGTCGTCCGTCGTCCGTAAACTTTTACTTTAAATGACATCTCCTCATAAACCACAAGGCCAATTTCATCCAAACTTCACAGGAATGTTCCTTTGGTGGTCACCTTTAAAAATTGTTCAAAGAATTTAATTCCATGCAGAACTCTGGTTGCCATGGCAACCGAAAGAAAAAACTTTAAATATCTTCTTTTAAAAAACCATAAGAGCTAGAGCTTAGATATTTGGCATGAAACATCTTCTAGTAAGTGTCTACCAAGTTTGTTCAAATAAAAGCCCTGGGGTCAAAATTGGCCCCGCCCCGGGGGGTCATTGATTTTCCCTATATGCATATAGTGAAAACTTAAAAAATCTTCTTTTAAAGAACTCAAAGAGCTATGGCTAAGATATTGAGCATCAAACATGTTCTAATAGGTGTCTATCAAGTTTGTTCAAAGAAAAGCCCTGGGGTCAAAATTGGCCCCGCCCCAGGGGGTCATTGATTTTCCCTATATGCATATAGTAAAAACTTAAAAAATCTTCTTTTAAAGAACCAAAAGAGTTAGAGCTAAGATATTTAGCATGAAACATGTTCTAATAAGTGTCTACCAAGTTTGTTCAAATAAAAGCCCTGGGGTCAAAATTGACCCCGCCCGGGGGGGTCATTGATTTTTCCCTATATATGCATATAGTAAAAACTTAAAAATCTTCTTTTAAAGAACTCAAAGAGCTATGGTTAAGATATTTAGCAACAAACATGTTCTCATAGGTGTCTACCAAGTTTGTTCAAATAAAAGCCCTGGGGTCAAAATTGGCCCCGCCCCGGGGGTCATTGATTTTCCTTATATGTGTATAGCAAAAACTTAAAAAATCTTTTTTTGAAAAAACCCAAATAGCTAGAGTTAAGATATTAAGCATGAAACATCTTTTAGTGAGTGTCTACAAAGTTTGTTCAAATAAAAGACCTGGGGTCAAAATTGGCCCTGCCCCGGGGTCATTGATTTTCCTTATATGTGTATAGCAAAAACTTAAAATCTTCTTTTGAAAAAACCCAAATAGCTAGAGTTTAGATATTAAGCATGAAACATATTCTAGTAAGTGTCTACAAAGTTTGTTCAAATAAAAACCCTGGGGTCATAACTGGCCCGGCCCCAGGCGTGTCATTGTTTTTAACTATATGTGTATAGTAAAAACTTTAAAAAAATCTTCTTTTAAATAGCCCAATGAGCTAGAGCTTAGATGTTTAGCATGAAACATTTTCTTATGGGTGTCTACCAAGTTTGTGCAAATAAAAGCCCTTTGGTTAAATTGGCCCTGCAATGTTTGGGGGGGGGGGGTTGGGGCGGCCTATATACAGGTGAGCGACCTCAGGGCCATCATGGCCCTCTTGTTTAATTTTGGTTCCCGTTTTCAAATGCAACGTTATACAAATCTAGATCGAAACCGACTTCAAAATAGTCCGACACTGCCATATATGGTACCGTATTTATCACTAACATAATACGGAAATTTCTATCCTTTGAAGTGTGTTTGCGCTTCAAGATTTGCGTGTATTTTAGGGAGAACATTTATAGGTATACATGTATAATATAAAATAAGTTATTTTTAAACAACTTGGAGAAAATGTTTAGTACGTGAATTCGACGTGTCTCGTGAAAGTCTTATCTTAAATATGTTTTTAATATCGCGTATAAAGGAAGCACACAATGAATTAGCACCAACATTTGTGACCTAACTGGAATAATTAATGTATAGAAAGTTTTCATGATAACATTGTTATTCATTTTACGCACCTCTGTGTACAGCGTCTGAAGACGATCATTTTGAATGCCATCGTCACTGTTCTAACTTATACTTATACATTCACTTTGGCACCATAATCACTCGCGTACGGGACCGCGTATTGCGGCGGGTATTTTCGATCCTGTACATCTGCATCTAAATATATTTACGTATTTTCAGGCCTAAAAAAATTCATTATCAAATGAACTCAATCTATTACTTATAAGATTGGCCAAACCTTACGGAATGATAAAAAATGGCAAAGTCAACAATTTGATGGAAGTTCCATGTGTTTATCTCAAAGGCCAATATCACATTTTCAATAAAATTGTATCAGGTTTTCAGTCCTACATGTTATTAAATTGAAATGAGCCGCGTCACTACATAACCAACATAGTGCGTTTGCGACAAGCATGGATCCAGACCAGACTGAGCATCCGCGCAGTTTGATCAGGATCCTTGCTGTTCGCTATCAGTTTTGCTACTTGTAATAGGGTTGGTAAGCAAACAGCATGGATCCTGATCAGACTGCACGGATGCGCAGGCTGGTCTGGATCCATGCTGGTCGCAAACGCATTATGTTGGTTTTGTCGTGACGCTGCTCAAATAAGCTTTGAAAGTATGCTGGCATGGAAGTCTGTATTTAAGTAGCACCCTCATCTTATTCAGTTTGTAGAGGCATTATCGCATTTGTATGCCATAATTGTCAATTGCAATTAAAATATCCGTTCGTACACGTTCATACATATTCATTAACAAAGTAGGCCGATGCTATTTAAGTAAATCTTCTTTTAAATTATATATACACATATAGATCAATTTCTTGAATCCCGTTTCATAGAACTAATGAGACAATTTTGTGATTTTTTTCTTGGTAAATTGTGTAATAAGTACACTCAGTTAAACGTTGCAATTGTTGGATAGTTATGTTCGCATATTTTGTGTTAAGCTTCGGTTAATATAACATTCGGTTAATATAATAACAAGATTGCGGCCTTGATTATTGGTCATACATGAATGCGCTTTGCATAAGAAACACCCAGAATACAAGGAAGTTTTAAAACTTATATATATATAAATGTATAAAATCATCTGTGTAATTTCAACATTTATTCTGTCAATTTGTAATGTCGAAATTGGTCTATTTTCTGTTTCGTCTCAACAACGGTGCAGACACCTAGGAACGGTTACGGAAGGTCCGCACCGTTTACCCCTTCTCTCGGTTCGAATTTCATGTACATTTATTTACAAAAGTGTTTAGTAAAAAAATCATATATATCTTATGTTACATATATTGTGAAGTTATTGATCTTAAAAAGTCAATATAAAATAACAGAGTTGATATGGATAAATCGTCTAACGATTACATATGAGCCGTGTCATGACAAAGCCAACAAAGTGCGTTTTCGATTATCATGGATCCAGACCAGACTGCGCATTTGTGCATACTGGTCAGGATCCATCATGTTTGCTATCAGTTTCTCTACTTGCAATATGGTTTGTAAGTGAACAGCATGGATCGTGATCTGACTGCGTGGATGCGCAGGCTGATCTGGATTCATGCTGGTCACAAACGCACTATGTTGGTTTTGTCATGGTATGGCTCATTATATAATTATAAAAAAGATCCCGACACTTTCTCGAGGCATGTTATCTTTAAGGTTATTAAATGAAAAAAATTCAAAACATAATTTATTAAGGTTTGGCTTTTAAAATAAAATTGTATACATGAATATTTACTATGTGTCAACTTGTAAACGGAAACAAAAATGTGTGTTTACTTCTTAACATTTATACGTTATTGCGTGCGCAGATGATGTAAAGTAACGATTTAAGACGGTCGATCATGACAGCTGCATATGTTTTCCTGTATGTAAATAATTATGTGAATGACACGGACTCGGTAAACTTCGCCAATATCCGGTTTCAACCAGATGAGTAAAAATAAGTGGAGGTAATCATGTCAGTGGAATAAGATTTTGAGAAAAGCAAAAATAATGACAGTTCAAGTAACGAATAATACACAGGGTATTTTTGCTTTTTTACCTTTATCTGGTATTTTTTTTGCGGAATGAAAGTGATATTTAAAATGTGTAAATTATTTTCTTTGTCCAATTGCCAATATTTTACTTTTGAATTTGTTTTCAAAATTACATGAAAATTAACATGAATCTGGAGGCATACAACTTTAAGAAACTTATTTTTAGTATATGTATGGCTTCTTATGTAAATAAAATTATCGATAATATTCGATAAACATTTCCACGCAATTCTGGCATCTATATTTCAAAATTTATTTGACAGCTCCTTTGTGAGTGAAAGGGTCAAACTATAGGCATATTTTATCATGTCTTCTTGATAGAAAAAACGAATTATGACAGGAACATTTTTTTTCTACTACTCTTTTTTTCTAATTTGAAACTTTCGGACTGTTTTTTCGGCACAAACCGTCACCAGTACCGTTTTCTTTACCGTTCATTTAAACGTCACGTCTTTCTGGATAAGCAAGTCACGTGCCAACGAAATTTTAGTCAAAAACAAAGTAAGACGTTTATAAGAAAACAATTAAACATCAATTCTGAAGAGATGACCTCCATAATGAGCACAATAAAGAACTGGACGAATACAACATATGTTACTTATATGCTTTAGAAGACACTTCTATTTCAAATGAAACCAAATTTACCGTACGGTTTACGAGCTACGGACATTTTTTCCGACCTTTGGATAATACAAGAGCCCTTAGTTTGAGTATAAGAAGAGCCCCTTTTCAGAAAAGAGCAACCTCATAATCATGAAAAACAATGATTTATTAATCATTGTTAAGAAACATTCAGATAATAAATACATGTAAGGAAAATGATTTCTTCTACTCAAAATGTTTGAAATTGTTTAAAAATGTTACCCTTCCCAATTTATCCCAACCTATTTTGAACGATTGTTTGACCATTTTTCTTACTTAGGGAGCCTTATTCAAAATATATCTTACATGTCGTATATTAAGAAAATGATCGACTGTTTTCAAAGTTTGCTTGAATTTTTTAAAAGTATATTGGTTGATCTTGTCAAATATTAAATACTTTTACAGTGTTATTTTGACTTCATTAGACTTTTGAAAAGCATGTTCATTGTTTGTTATTCACCAATTAATACCTATAACAGTTATATAACTAAAACAAACACTTTCTCCGAGAGGGATTGGATACATAGCTAAATAATATTAAAAGAAAAAAAGAAAGTTGACACTTCAGAGGTTTGAACCCACGCCCTTAGTTTCAATACAGTTCACAGTAAGTTCAGTCTTTTTGAATAAATGCTGTTTAAATTGTTAAATTGTCAAGAATTTTCAAAACGAATTTGAAATACAGTTTATTTTTGTCTTTATTTGAGACAAATAGAAATTATTATAAATATCATACATTGCCATCAGCCGTCTATGTCTATGTATTCCAAATAAAAACGATGTTTCAAAGGTGCAGTTTGGTACAAGTTGACTGGATGGAACCTGTTATGTACTGTTGAGACTGACTGTTATAAGGACTTGCACTGTTCTGATAGGTAGTTTGCCATTGTGCTGTGTATTAAATTGTTTTTTTCTCTCTTTGTAGGATACGACCAACCCGGAGACGAATACACAAATAAGCATGCGAAATTCGGGGTGGATGTTTCATCCCCTTACCAGCCAGGAATTCCCCCACTGCAACAGGGATATGGCCTGCAGCCAAACCCATTTCAACAATTATATCGAGACGACACAAATACTACAGTGGTACAAATTTGTGTATCATACCATTTTTATATTTTTAAAAGATTTACCAGCTGGGAAATATTAAAAAATGCTGAATTTGACATGAATCATTTATTTTACAAAAAACTTTAAATGTTTTATTTTATTCAATGTGTTCAATCAATCTTTGTCGTTGTCAAGTAAATCATATAGCAGGATATTTTATTATAAAAAGAATCTTTTCTTGATCTGTGCCAGTGTTTATACTTTACAACCTTTCATATTAAAGCTCCATGCATCTTTTCGAGGCCTTTATATCATTATTAATTTTGAAGAAATACATGTTCATGGTTCAATAATGAATGGAAAAAAAATGTCAATTACTTATTAAAATCGCAAACGATAGGTCTGTCATAAATTGGCCAATGCATGTTTTTTTCTAGGTTGTTACTCAGCCACAAACTGGCACCGTCATTTACCAGCAGAGACCCCCAGATTATATGCTTGTATCTGTTTTAGCTTGTCTGTGTTGCTTCTGGCCTACTGGTATATGCGCCATTTACTATGCAAACGAGGTAATTTTAACAATCTATTATTATGAATAACAATAAGTTTACACGCGTGGTTTCACGTACGAGTAAAGTCGCTGTGAATAGTCAGCTGTGCACTGTGTGGCAGTGAAAAGCCGAATAAAATGCTATCTTTAGATCTGCGCATTAAAGGGTAAAAGTTTACGACTCGGAAATTACATTACGTTTATAACAATTATAGAACTAGTTTACTTCTGTGACAGGACTGGTACGCTTATGTCAATACCAGAGAAAGCTAACAAATAATTGAACAAGGAACAGGACATCACAATTATATACACGCTCGTAAACGTTTATCGTAATGTCCTGGAAATTAATAAATTAATTATATCCGAATTTAACGATATGTTAACTGTTTATAAACAAAAGATCAGCGATACCGATCATATCAAGAGAGACATGCAAAACTTTAAAAGATGTATAAAGACCATCAAATGGATATATTGAACAATTCAGATGTTTTGTGGCAATGAAATGCAACAGCCTTTGCACTCTCATGCAAAACAGTTTCACTTTAGGAAAGATAATGTGTTCACGAATAATTTAATTCTAGCCATATTGTCTCGGTAAATTAGCCTAATTCTATAAGATCATACAGTTGTACAGTGAAATACTTGTATACTGCCATAAGAAAACATTGTCTTTCCATTTTAAAAATCAAGAACTATAAAATGGGTCCATAAGTGAAAAACTGAAGTATGTTTTTATTTACTTGTAATTTTACGACTCGCAAAATAGTTGTGTTATTCCGCAGTAAAGCATGCGTCTTATTCAAAATTATTTAAGACTCGGCTGCTGCGTTATATCAGCTCTATAAGAATGCTTACTGACTAAGACGCCAATTCACTAGGTATATTGTAAGAACGGCTTGTGCCGCTCATGTTAGTGCGTTAATAGTGCGTTAATAATATTTTAGGGCTACTAAAAATTTTAATGTTAAGTTTTTAATGTTCAACCTTTGGTCTAGAGGTGCATTTTTATTGTTGGCTAACATCATTTGGTACGGCTTTTTTGCCTTCTAGTGTCTTCATGTCAACTAAGATGTTTTCTAGAGGATTATAATTAAAGTAACTATGTGTAGCATTAGATATATGAGCACCTTTCATGTAAAAATGTGCCCTTTAAGTAAGCTCAATAGGTGACGTGTTTGTTCCTAGAATGCCAAATGTTATGGAATTGTAATGCAAGTTTTTATAAAACCCTTAAAGTATTATATGAACTATATATATTATTTAAAGGCAAACAATTTGGCAAGTGCTGGCGACTATGCCGGGGCAAGAAGGATGTCTAACAACGCCAAGAAGCTGATCATAACCAGTGTGGTTATTGGAATTATTGGGCTGGCCGTTTATGTTGCCTTGCAAGTGGTAGTGATTAACGAATCTTACAGAAGCAGCAACAGTTACTAGTGAACTTGTAATAACGGTAACTTGCGCAATGAAATGACAAAAAACTTGTACATAAAAATAGCAATAACTTTAGCCCTTATAAATATAAATACGAAATCAAACATTTCAATGGAAATACACATTAAACTTATAATTGACTGTTTTTCCATCATATGTTCATATAGATTCAGTAAATGTACCAAAAATGACTAAATATACCACCTTCCATAAACTATCATTGGATAATAATACATTTGCACATATATGGATGTAAACACATATTCTTACAGATTTTGCATGTCGAATTTGTTTCAAATAACATCAAATTTCAAGAAAGCTGGGTTCGTCAGAGAAGGTCAGGTGGCGATCGGTACGTTAATTTATCAGATCAGTTCATTATTTATTTAACAATATCATTGCCTTTTTATATTCAAATAAATGAAATACTTAATCAGAAATGACGCTTTATATTTAAATGACTTCCAATCATTAATATCCATGTATTGCAGCATAATAATATGCATATTAAACACATCTAATTATGATATTTAAGGTTTATAATTTTCAGACAAAACGTTTCTTTTTCTCAATAATGAGCGTCTGGTTTATAAGGGAACTATAACAAATAATACTACTGGATGACACAAAGGGCTTTTTTTAACTTTTTGTGAGACACATTTCATTTCCGAACCATTTACAAAGAGTTAGCCATTTGTTAGCTAAGGTATATGCGAGTTTTTTCCATTTGTGAGCATGTAGCAAAAAAATAGACTATTTGTCAGCTAGAACATAATTACGTCTTATAATGAATATTAACAAATACAATTATTTATATTTAAGCTGTTCCTTAACAATAGTAAACATTATTTAATTCATTCTTGATCTTTGATATTGAATATGCATGAAAACTCATTGTTTTTTAAATTGTTAAAATTGTGCAATGTTCATATTTTCTGCATTACTGTAACTTTCCTCCATACGCTAAAAATCTGCTATAGTTTTAGAATGAATATGTCTAATAAAAGTGAAAATTATATCGTCTTTAAAAAAATTGTTTGAGTTATTTATTTTCTTTCCTACTGCAATCTTTTTCTCCAAGTATTTATAGGGGTGTCTGTGGTCGAGTTGTTTTAATGTCGTTGACGTTTTCATACCCGTTGTGGCGTCCAATAATCTTTGATTATTACCACAATAATCTTTGATTATTACATGTAAGGAAGCAGTCATTACAACTAACCAAACTTCGGTTGTATATTTATCAGTATCTTGTAATGAGAGGAGGCACATGTGTGACCTCGCTTTACATCACTAATAAATAAATCGTGTTTTTAAATGGATTAAAGAAAAAAAATAATATAAAGATATAACAAAGCACTGGTTTATTTCCATGTAATTCAGCGGATCATGAGAAACACAACCCAGATATTTGTATGCCTCCAATAAAACTTTAGCAAATTTATACTTTTTATCTTTATTTTTCTACAAACTTGCATTCAGTATTTTATAAACACGTGCGCAGCGTTTTTAAGGCGATTTCAGTTGATCTATAAAAAGATAAAAGCGTGAACCAAAATGGCGGAGAAAGCAGGTGCTGTGAATTTCATGATTTTGTTCTATTTTCTACAGCCATTTAAAGATTTCATTCCTGACAATAATGTGTTATCAAACTATTATGTACATTATAAAACATAAAAGAAATCAGTTAAGAACTCAAGCTTGTTTTAAACGTACAATTGCTACAAATGCACGGCAAAATTATTTAATTGCTTTAAGATGTTATTTTAAAGTAGTTTAGGAATTTTATCAAATTACATTAATTAGATATCCATTATACACCTTGATGTTGTAAAATGTACACGTAAATTTTGATAAAATCTATGTAAATATTATTTATTTTATTCATAAATATTTGTATATCATATACTGCTTTACCTGTCCATTTACCTGATCACTATACAAACGTGATTTTCGTGACAGTTTATCTTTATCAATTTATATGAGCGCGTCATGACAAAACCAACGACCAGCACGGATCCAGACCAGCCTGCGCTTCCGCAGGATCCATGCTGTTCGCTATCAGTTTCTCTACTTGGTATAGGGTTTGTAAGCGAACACCAAGGATCCTGATCAGACTGCGCGGATGCGCAGGCTGGTTAGATTCATGCTGGTCATCATATTTGTTTTATAATCAATCATAAGGCTATTTACTATTATATTTATCGGTTCACATAGTTCACTTTATCACCCAAACTTTTTTTTTTTTCATCTTCATGTCCGACGATATGGTGTTTACTTAACTTAAAACAGTTCCTTTTCCTTTGTGGTAGCAGAAACTTGAAATGTTATCTATAATTTTCAAAAATCTTTTATTTCCTGTCAAAAACCCCATCTCTATATAAAATATATAACATCTGAGTTCGTTGAATTAGACGAACTATTTAGGCGGACTTTATCTATTTACCATATTTACCTCAGGCTGATAAAACCACAGGTAAACGTCGCGTGGCCATGACTTACACTATACCCCCGTTCCCCCTCTACAACCCAAAACCCTTAAACATCATCCAAACATCATATGTATTGACAAAAATAAATTTTCTGAATTTTTTTTTTTATGACTCTAAAATATTATAAAGGTATTTTACTCTACTTTCATTTTGCATAGAAATATCACTTGCATCTCAATTATCAGCGCATATATTCATCAATTTTTCACCGATCTTAACAATCCTGGTGTCAAATCTTAGATAAATGAATACTTATTAAGAAAACAACACTGACACCTTCGCTGATTATACGTAGCAAGTAATATTTAAGCCCAAACTGGCAACAAATGAAACTCGGAAGAGATCTGATTGCACTGTTTCGGTAAAACTCTCACGAGTAAAACACGCTAAATTTACAGTGAATGAATGTTTCTTTGTATTGCGTATTTAAATATGATAAAATTAAATTATTATTTTTAATTATTGTTCAATCAAGGCATCATATGAAACTATAACGTACCTTTTTTCCTATATGTCAAATTCTCAATCCAAAAATGAAAGTAAAATGGCGCAGCAGATTGTTTTCAAATGGAGTATTTTATAGTTCACATGAAAACCTCGGACCAAAGGGAAACATGTACAACTCTGCTGTGCCAATTTACTTTCATTTTTGGATTGAGAATTTTCGAGTTTCATTTGTTGACAGTTTGGGCTTGAATATTTCTTGCTACGTATAATCAGCGAATGTGCAGGTGTTGTTTTCTTAAAGAGTATTTATTTATCTAAGATTTGACACCAGGATTGTTAAGATTGGTGAAAAATTGATGAATATATGCGTTGATAATTGAGATGCAAGTGATATTTCTATGCAAAATGAAAGTAGAGTAAATGTCTTTATAATTTTTTAGAGTCATAATTTTTTTTTTCATAAAATTTATTTTTGTCAATACTTATGATGTTTGTGTGATGTTTTAAGGGTTTTGGGTTGTAGAGGGGGAACGGGGGAATAGTGTAAGTCATGGCCACGCGACGTTCACCTTTGGATAAAAATACTATGGCAATCGCTCTTTTCTGACTCGTATTTACACAATGAGTATGAACGGAAATGAATGACTCAACTGTTGTTATCAGTAGCATTAAAATGACCAATGTCGTTATATTATTGTGTATGCTTAACGTGAGTAAACATCAGATCTGTTTAAAGCGACGAAATCTGTCTGATTTATGTAGGGTAAATATTTTTAAAAAATAAGTCATTTATTGAACTTTTACGCTACTGCAAAAGTCCATGCCTTTCATAAATTGAAAATTGACACTTTCGATAAGAGATTAATAATTATGTCTAGAAAACAACTTCTGTGTTTTGTCGTTTTTAATAAATGTTAACTAGATAAGGGCATGAGTTTATTTAGTATAACACCAAACACATCATATCAACTGATGTCGTTCTTTCGAAACATACCGATACTTGGCCACTCATAATGCAATACGTTGAATATTGAAATAAATATTATTACTATTTACTGCCCTTGCCGGTTAGAGGCATGGATTTTCAGCTACCATTATTTTTCGTCATTAAGTGTAAAATAAAAGGAATTTAAATTCTATTCTTTGGATATTTGGACTTACTTATAGTTAATCTCATACCACCGAAAGAACAAAGCAAAAAAGAAACAAAAACAACTAGTTGAAATAAGAAACGCAAGTATATTTCGCCCTTATCGAATACATGTACACACCAATGTGTAAATACAACTGTTACTAGTAGCCACGTTGATAGGTACACTGCAAACCGGTCTGACGGATAGATGAGACCTACTGGTCTGAATACTTTATATTTGAAAGTTCGCACACAGTTTATTATGTAAGCCTGCAATGATGAATTATGGTCATTGATACTAGCAGACCCCAGGACCTTGTTCTTTCATTTAGGCTTTGTAGTCACCTTATTCATCGCCACCATCGACACAATTTTTACTGTCGGAACCAATAGAAAAAACATATTCCACGTTGGCAACCACTATGATGGAGGACATCATGATGGAGGACATCAAAAGCATGAATAACCTGCTTAATGTATCTGTGGCTGAAATTGATAATGTCGAAAACACAGTGAATTCAATTAGTATCAAACTGATTTGGAAATTAAAGTGAAAAATATTGATGAAAGGATGGTGGATGTTGAAATATCACATAATTATGTTCGTAAGCAACCATTATGATGAACAAAGCGAAGCTATATAAAAATGTTCAAGGTCAAATTGGCAATTTAAAGAAATTTGCGAGAATTAGAGACTGATATCAAAGTATTTGATGAAAAACTGAAGAGGATGAAGTATAAAATTTGTGATGCTGATAGTAAGAGTATGCAAAAAATCTCATTTTATATGGTATCCTAGAAGGACTTTCGAATTGTGTATCCACAAATGTTTGTATGTTTATAGCATGGACATTGCACAACCGGAACCGAAAGTAGAGAACTGTAAGCTGGATGTGAAAACGTTCATACAGGACAATTGATCTGTTCATTCCAGTAAAATGTTTTCGATAGAGCTCAATGTCTTGGAAATCCGTACTGGCCGAAAATATGGTTAAATCAAATAGCTACGCGGAGCGTGAATATGTTTGTACTGCTGCATTTAATTAAAAAAGAGACGAGCTAAAAGCAAACCAGCGTTGGGGTTAAGGTTCAAATTTCAAAGGAATGGCGTGATGCACGTAAACAAATATATAATGAAGCCGATCAGGAGCGGAAGAGGGGAAAAAGTGTGTTTGTTGGTGATCAACTGCTAGTCGGGAAATGCACTCAATTTTTTGTCATCAATATAGAAAGGTCACATGGAGTAATTAAACATTGTTTCGTCGAATATTAACGGTTTGGCCGACTTGCGTTCATTGAACGCCGCCTTTCCTTGTTGATCTTGTTTATCATATTTTGGTTTTTATGATTTAATCATTTTAGCTGCACTTTACGTGAATAGAGAACACGGCGTCTGCTTTAGCTCCCACCAAGATTTCTGATTAAAGATTTCTGATTAAATATTTCTGATTAAAGTTTTTCAACAAATAAAATATTATTAACAATTAACCTTTATTAAATGAGGGATAAACTGTATTTTTGCAAACATACGTCATATAATTACACACATCATTATATAGCACTGGTATATTTAGAAAAGCTTTCTTTTTTTATTTTCCTTTAATGTTTAATATTTTACTATATCTTTGAAAAACAGTTCAAACATAAGATAATATAATTCTTATACTGACAGGTTGTCAAATGCAAGTAAGGATCAATATTGCTCTTAAATAATCCTTTAACCATGTGCAATATAAAATTGAAGCTACATATTCAAGCATAAGTAATTGACATAACGTCAGCAACGTTATTCCGCATCGCACTTAATTTCCTGTTGGAAAAACAAAATCTTAGTGTTTCAGTAATTTTATCTCGTAAAGGTACATCATATCATTTTCAAGCATTCTTCAACGAGCTTCCAAAGAACAATTTATAACGCATCTGTGGCGTTAGTTTCTAACAATAAAAGATCGGGAAACGAATCTACCGCTTTACTAGATTACATTATACATCGTTTAGTATAGACCCGTAGAATATAGAGATATCGAGGGGTCTCTTTGTTGTTTATTATTTAGCCATTGGCAAATTTAGTTTACTACCTTAACTTTTGTGATATGACAATTATTTGAAACGATTTATCTAAAAATTTAACCGTTAGAAAAGCTGAAGGCTGTCTTTAGTGTATGTACTACAATTTCTCTCTGTGTTTTCGTAACTTTACATGAGATATAATGCATTTAATCTAGGAAAAGTATGAACAAGTATACAATAAATATTATACTTTTGTCTTGCATTGGTCTTTTATATTTGCGTTGTGTAGTTTATTTGTTTGTGATTTTCTTGATCCGCAGACGGTTACACTGATGATCATGCTAAGTATGGAGTGGAGGCTCAACACCCTGATCAGCCAGGAATTACTCGTATGCAACCACCCGATGGACACGACAAATATACTACAACAGTGGTAATGTTTTTGAAATTGCAGCAATGCTACCTCTAGGGGAAGAAAACGTTTTTTAAATGATATTTCATACCAGCTGTGAAATTTAAAAAAAATCCAAATTTGTACAAGTATATGAGCGAAACATACCTTTAATATAAAAAAGAAATGTCCAAGGCCGCTTTTAATCGACAAGACATTGTATTGAAAAAATATACTGAATTAAATTGAGATGGGTATGATAGGTGAAAATTTGAAAGGTTTCAATTATAAATAACTTAGGATATAATAACTGAGGGATGTTGCATGTATGTACAGACTCAATCAAACCGAGTTTGCAATTCTCTAGTAATATTGTTGTAATTAATGTTTCTGAGGGATCACTTTGTTTCTAGATTTTTATACTTCACAAAAGCAGGTGTCAATTGCTATGTGAAAGCTGTAAAAAGTTACCCCGTACTTCACTTCAGTGTCGTTATATTTTTCTGGTACATCGGGATCATTGATGCCAGTGCTATTGAATGTTGATAATTGAGTACCACTCAATCCGGTGGTAGGGGACGTGAGGGATGTTGCACATATTCATTATCCCTCATGTACAGACTCAATCAAACCGAGTCTGCAATTCTCGTGTAATTTTGTTGTGATTAATGCTTACGAGGAATCACGTTGTTTCTAGATTTTTAGGATGCATGTTTATCATAACTGTAGCTTTGTTCTTTAAGAGTTTTGTTTTTAAGTTAAAATTATTTGTCGAAATTGCTTACTAAGACAATAATGAACGATACCAACATGACAATCGGAATTTTTGACAAAGCACAGTTGCAAGACAAGGGGCATTATTCTGACAGATATATATGTGGAGTTATACATCTTTTAATCATTACAAACTTGTCAAGATTATTTATTAAGTTGAATGATTTCAAAATTATGAAAAATGTCATTATGGAATTGGAACACCTGGCGATCATGGCAAATGTCAGTTGTAAAGCAAGGGGCACTCAACTGGCATCAGAGTTATGCCCCGTGTTATCAAATTTGCCTATTTAGTAGAATTATTTCAAAATAAAGATATCAACATGCATCTTGGAATATTTCGTCATTTTGTCATTGCAGGACGTACTCGTTAGAGGAGGGGCATGATTCTGAAGACTATACTTCTGTAGTTTAGCCACTTTTCAACTTTTAAACTAACTGTTTGTCAAAATTACAAATCATTTGCAGTATGATTTGATATCAAAACTATCAACTTGATAGTGATTGCCCTATACAGACGAAAGTTGACACCATATGCAGTGCTGTTGTTCAAGGTTTAAATGTAGCAATTTTAGAAACAAATGTTAATTAACCTATACAGTTATATAACAGAAAAGTATTTAATATTTTACAAAAAAGAAACAAAAAGTTGTGTAGTTGTTTTTTCCCTAGGTTATAAATCAGCCACAAACTAGCGAATTAATTGTCCAGCATAGACCCACGGATTATATGGTTTCATCTATGTTTGCTTGCCTCTGTTGTTTTTGTCCTACTGGAACATTGGCCATCTACTACGCAAGCGAGGTAAGTTTAATATAAATAGCATTATTGAATGCTTACTACCTGAAAGGTAAATTATATACATATTCTTTAGATTTATGTGTGCCTTTTCTTCATAGATCGTTAACAAAATTTTTAAGTGTACATTAGCTTTTGGTGTTAATCTATAAAGGGTAAGCATTAGATCAGTTGTTACGGCATTTGGTCTGCTACTGCCTTTAGGTGAAGTGAAAAGGTTTTACATACATCTTTCTTTAAGTTTTCATTTTATGTCTATATGTATAAGATGTGAGCATTTCTCAAGTGTAACTTTAGGTGTATTAGAGCTCGTCAGTACGTGAAGCGTAAAGACCATAAATTCCAGATGTCATAAAATGCAATGCTAGCGTTACAAATCTGTTAAAGGAGTTCTTTTATTGTATTTTATAGGCAAACAATTTGGCAAGAGCTGGTTTCTATGCCAGTGCAAAGAGAATGTCTGACAAGGCCAAGAAGTTAATGATTATTAGTGTGATCGTTGGAATTATATTGTGGGTCGTTTTGTTGTTCAGACTTGACATTAAACGGTGATGCTTACTAGCACGTATAAATACGGTTACTTGTGCACTGAAATGACGATTATTTTTACATTTTAATGACAATTACCTTTGCCTTACCATAACAATTGATAATCAACAATTTCAAAATAAAAACATAATTTACTATTAAAAAAGGACAGTTGTGAGTGCTACATTAACATACTAAATCAGATATTCATTTACTTTACATTATCATTACCTTTGCAAGATTTTAGCAAGTCATATTCAACTAAATGAAAACTGATCAGAAATTGGGCGGTATATTTAAATGTCTTCCATGTATTGCAGTAATATAATAAATTTGTATGTACATGTATATTAAACATAACACTAAGAAGTCAGATTTCCTTAAGGTTAATAAAATTTTGAACAATCTTATTCTTATATCTTATACAAAGTGTTCGTTTTGCTTTAATTTTGTCACAGGGTTAAATTATTCCATGACACATAAGACCTAATTAAACATTTTGAGTGAAAAACACTTACAATCTTGCAGCACTAGACGTACAATGTGACAACCACCAGTTAGCCATTAGTGAGTCATTAGCTCAAAAAGTCCATTTGTGACCAAGTAGATAAAAAAGACCAATTGTCAGTCAGAACCTAAATGCAGGTTTAAATGAATATTGACATTAACATTTATTCATAATTAAGCCGATTTTAGAATATAAACATAACATTGTATCTAATCCATTCGGTGGTTCTTGTCAGGTGCCCGTTTGTGCATGAAATAATGTACAGAAAGTCTTTCTTCACAAGTAATGCTGAAAAGTCACTATATGACTTATAATCCATACAGTCAAACAAAAAACTTTCATTTTATATATTTGATGTTAAATAATTCACAAAATATTCCCTTGTTTGTTATAATTTAACAATATTTATATTTTCTACAACTTTCTTATAACACTTTTCTTTTATATGCTAAAGATCTGCTGTAGTTTCAAATCGTGTTTTGCTCATAAAAGTGAAAGTAAAATAAAAGTTATTTTTTCTAATATGTTCCCTAATTGAAGTTCATCAATTTCACAAACTATTGATAGTTTCGTCCGTAGCCAAGTGGTTAAAGTCGTTAACACGAAATCGCCTGCCCCTCAACGCTTTGGGTACAACTTTCGCCAGTGACTTTAAATATTTTTATGTTAAGAAGCTATCCAGCTAGTTTAAAGAACGTCAGTGACTCAGGTGGTAGTCTGCGCCTGACATAATGCACGGAATTGAACCTATGTTCTGGATAATCAAATGTCTATCACATTAGAGTGTTTTAAGTTGATTTGATAATATTTTAGCTCGATAGTTAAAAGAACAACTTGCCTGCACTACTATCACCTAAGCGTCGGCGTCTGTGTCAGCGTCAGTCTTGCTTTTTGGTTAAAGTTATACATGCAACTTCGTGTACAAAATGAAATCAAATCTCATCAACTTTTGATTGCAACTTCACACCCATCATTGATCTAATCACGGGTAAAATAGTTTGGCATGGTTGTTGACCGTAAAATATTTGGCTTTCTAGTGTAGCATTTACGTTTCAAAATACGTTTGACGGTATTCTCCTAACACAGTTATTAAAGTTCTCATTATTACAATCATCAAATGTCACTGTCCAAGACCAATAACTCGAAAGTAGTGTGAATGAATGTCGCCTTTGTAACAATACAAAAATATTTTGGGGATATTAAGGACTATGTCATATTTATTCGAATGAAACGATCCCGTTTGTTAATTCTTATATGGTTTTGCTATTCGTATTTGTTCTTCGTGATTTTTTTGTTGCTGAGGGAGTGTTCATTTGTTTCGATTTCTGTCATTAGCTTTACGCTAAGACATATGTTCTTATCATAACTTCTTTTTCGAAATCTATCTTTATCAGCTTTAAAATTTGATTAACTGTCTGAAAAACGTTTGTGACATTTCAAATTAATTGTTTGATCCTATGTCAGTTATTGTCATTTAGAATAACCTCTTTTTTATAATACACGGGAAGTTAAATAAGAGTTGCTAAAAGGAAATTAAGAAAATAGCAACATAAAAACGTGTTTCCTTTTCAAGTTTAATCATGACTTAATGTCAAAGTCTGATTACTTTGTATTTCATAATGCAACAGCTGTAAATAGAATGATATTTTCTGATGACATTTTTCTCTCATTTGGTTTGGAACGTGTTTGTTGATTTGACTAGAAAAACATTAAAATAAATTTATTCTGTGTTGTTAATGTTTTTAACATTAGAAACAATAGAACAATAGCAACAAAAGCAAGTACAAGTTACTAGTATACTTTTTGTATAATAAAACTGATATAATTAGGATTTGATATTATAAAGGCGAGAGGGACCTAGTTGAGCCGCGTCACGACACAACCAACGTAATGCGTTTGCGACCAGCATGGATTCAGACCAGTCTGCGCATCCGCGCAGTTTGATCAGGATCCATGCTGTTCGCTATCAGTTTCTCTACCTGCTATAGGGTTTGTCAGCGAACAGCAAGGATCCTGATCAGACTGCGCGGTTTATGTTGGTTTTGTCGTGACGCGGCTCATTTATTGATCTTCAGGTTGATCTACAGGTTTCAGGGAATGAGGTCATTTTTCTTCAGAGGAGGTCAGTATATTATAGAAAAGGGGTCACTTTTTCTATAGAATATTGACTCGGGTCAATTGACTCGTTGGGTCACTTTTCTTCGTTCAATCCATCTTGCAATTCCTTTGCTCATACAACCAACTTCTTTTTTTTTAAATTTAAACCTGAGCCGTTTGAACATTCACTGACCTTTAATCGGGAATTATCGTCATTTGAAAGAGGGCATTAGCTTGCCGATATTGGTGGTTGACTGGACTAAACCATGTCTTTTAATGATAAACTGTATGCTATAGTGTAAAAATGCGGTTTTTTGACCTGTTAAAACTCAGTCTTATAATTATTTATCATTTAATGATTAACCTGTCCGTGCTCTGTCTTTGGCCTGTCCTGTTTTTGTTCGGGGTCCGCCTGGGCTCCTTGCCGTTGGTTCTTGTTGCTGGGTCATATGGGGGTTGCGTTCATTGAACGCCGCCTTTCCTTGTTGATCTTGTTAATCATATTTTATGATGTCAAATAATCGCAGAATATTTTCGAAATGTGGTAATGACCTGTCTAAACTATTTTTATAATGTAAAAGAGAAGTGCTATCTTCTCAACATTTGGTGTTTGCCTGTCTAATAATTGTCTTATTTTCAAACTTGAGAAAGCGCTGTCTGATTTTGTTAAACTCTCCCGTTATCTTCCTTAAAAGCGGTCTTAAATTGGGCAACTCATGTTTTATTATGTAAAACTTCCGTGTTATTTTGTGTAAACTTTTTGTGTTGACTTTCTTATTATATGAAATAACCGTGATATTTTATCGAAAATGTTTAGTCTTATTAATTCCGAACCTTGACAAAATAAAATGACACTTTCAGTAAATTTAGACAAGTCAGCACCACGTTTCGACATTATAAATTATTGTTTGACATGATAGGTCGAATCTAGACATGTGAAATCTTCGTTTTAATATTTCATTACCATAATTTTTAAAGATACCACCAATATTTAACACAATAAGACAGCGTTTAGACAGGTTAACATAAGATTCGGACAATATAGCATGGCGAACTGAGAAATTAAGGCAGTGTTTAGACATGTAAATACACCCCTACACACGCGCACACACACATATTCACGCACACACACATACGCACGCTCGCAAAATTATTACCATGTCAACACGATAACAACAAGATAGCATGATGTTTTTGGCACAATAAGACAGAATAACAATCATAAAAAGTCACATAACAGTTTGACAAAACAAGACAATATATATAAAAATGTCAATATAAGACATGAACAAATACATGTATGACTACATGTTGAAATAATAAGACATGCGTTGGCACCGAGTTCAGACAAGATAACACTATTGTTTCACATATTAAGACAATTTCAAGACAATGTAACACCACATTTGGACAAGACAGCATGCTATTTTGACAAAAAAGACAGTCTTATGGCAAGATAAAGCCGAATTAGAACACAATGATGTGGCAGTCTGACAAAATTTGAAAGTGTTTAGACAAGTGAATACCACATTTGAACACGGCAAATGACAGTATTACATAATACAATAATGTTTCAACAACCCGGGCTCAGATTCAGACAAGATGACACCAGTGTTTGCCAAATTAAGAAGTGTTCAGACAATTCAACACCACATTAATCATGACAGAGTGGAGGCATGTTAAAATCTTATGATAACAATTCTACAAAATATTAGATTTTGGTTTTATTTACATTAAGCCCTTTCTTGTCTATACATATTTATTAAATCGAGAAAACTGATGCAATACTAACACTGTAAACGAATATTAGCTGTTTCATTGCCATCCTGCGCATGATGTAAAGGGGTTTACCGGTACTAGTTGTCTTCACTTTCGCAAGGAACTGATAACTTCTGTCCATGCAAAAGCAGAGGTACCGTGCGAAAGATCGCAGAAAGGATCCATGATCAATAACAACAAAGTTACCTGCGCAGTCCGGAAATCGAAACCTAGTCGCCTGATACACAGTCTAACGCTCCCTATTGAGCTAACGGACGGCTATTGAATGTAGGGGATCCACAGACAATTTATTTTAAAGATGACGTAATAGTTGTGTACAATAGAAAGAGTTACACAGGTGTAATGACAAAAGAATAAAAAAGGGACACATGTGACACACATGTGAAACACATGTGCCACAATGACGATTATTTGACATAAACAAATGTGTTTTAATTATTTTTTGTATCTTTGTGAGTGAGTAAGGAGATTCACAACTGTTTCTACTGGAACATATTTGTTTCAGTGAAACAAAAGATTTCTTTACACTTATATTTACGTGTTAAATCTATGATAAAGAAACACTTAACAGCTTTTACAAAACCACAGCACTGACAATTTTGTTGACAAGAAGTATTTAATTTGGTCTTTAACTTTTATTTCAAATGAGCAAGCACAATGATTGAATATGAGCAAACACACTGAATAACTATAAGCAAGCAAAAGGAGGGGGAAAATCAGCAAGCACAAACAGTAAAATATGGGCAAGTGCAAGGAATAAATATAAGCAAGCAAAATGAGGGGAAAATTGAGCAAGCAAAATGAGGGGGAAATGAGCAAGCACAACGTGTGAATATATGCAAGCACAATGTGTAAATATGAGCAAGCAAAATGAGGGAAAAATTGAGCAAGCAAAATGAGTAAATATGAGCAAGCAAAATGAGGGGGAAATTGAGCAAGCACAATGAGTAAACATGAGCAAGCAAA